CTGGTTGATGTTTCTCTCTCATTGATGTTTCTAACTCTCTATCCCTCTCCCTTCCTCTCTGTAAAAAAATCAATAAAATAATTTAAAAAAAAAAAAAAAAAAAAAAAAAAAAAAAAAAAAAAAAAAAAAAAGAAAAGGCCAGAGTACGCAGAAGAAAGGAAATAAAAAAGATCAGAGCAACAATATAAACAATATAGAGACCAAAAAGCAATACAAAAGATCAATAAAACCCAGAGCTGGTTCTTTGAAAGGATAAACAAGACTGATGAACCTCTAGCTAGGCTCACCAAGAAACAAAGAGAGAGGACTCAAACAAAATCAGAAATGAAAGAGGTAACAACTGATCCCACAGACATACAAAGGATTATTAAAAAAAATACTAGAGCCGAAACCAGTTTGGCTCAGTGGATAGAGCGTCGGCTTGCGGACTGAAAGGTCCCAGGTTCGATTCCAGTCAAGGGCATGTACCTGGGTTGCGGGCACATCCCCAGTAGGAGATGTGCAGGAGGCAGATGATCGATGTTTCTCTCTCATCAATGTTTCTAACTCTCTATCTCCCTCCCTTCCTCTCTGTAAAAAATCAATAAAATATATTTTTTTAAAAAATACTATAAACAGCTCTACTCCAACAAACTGGACAACCTAGATGAAAAGGACATATTCCTAGAAAAATACAAGCTTCCATAACTCAATCAGGAAGAATAAAAAAACCTGAATAGGCCAATAACTACCAATGAAATTGAAGCAGTAATCAAAAATTATCCAGCAAACAAAAGCCCGGGGGAAGACAGCTTCACAGGGGAGTTTTACCAAACATTCAAAGAACTAAAACCTATCCTCCTCAGACTATTGCAAAAAATTCAAGAGGAAGGAACACTTCCAAGCTCATTCTATGAAGCCAGCATTACCCTAACCCCAAAACCAGATAAAGACACCACAAAGAAAGAGAATTACAGGCCAATATCCCTCATGAACATAGATGCTAAAATCCTCAACAAAATTCTAGCAAACAGGATGCAGACATTACATTGGAAAGATCATACACCATGACCAAGTGGGATTTATTCCAGGATGCAAGGCTGGTACAATATCTGCAAATCAATAAATGTGATACCTCACATGAACAAATTGAGAGACAAAAATCACATAATCATATCAATTGATGCAGAAAAAACATTTGACAAAATCCAACACCCTTTCTTGATAAAAACCCTCAGCAAAGTGGGAATAGAGGAATCATACCTCAACATAATAAAAGCCTTATATGACAAACCTACAGCCAACATCATACTCAATGGGCAAAAACTAAAACCATTTTACCTAAGAACAGGAACAAGACAGGGATGCCCACTTTCTTTCTGTTTGTTTTTTTTTTTAATATATTTTTTATTGATTTTTTACAGAGAGGAAGGGAGAGAGGTAGAGAGTTAGAAACATCGATGAGAGAGAAACATCGATCAGCTGCCTCCTGCCAATCTCCTACTGGGGATATGCCCGCAACCCAGGTACATGCCCTTGACCGGAATCGAACCTGGGACCTTTCAGTCCGCAGGCCGACGCGCTATCCACTGAGCCAAACCGGTTTCGGCAGGGATGCCCACTTTCACCACTTCTGTTTGACATAGTACTAGAAGTGCTAGCCATAGCGATCAGATAAGAAAAAATAAAAGGTATCCAAAATGGAAAAGAAGAAGTAAAACTGTCATTATTCGCAGATGACATGATATTATACATAGAAAACCCTAAAGACTCCATAAAAAAACTACCAGATTTAACAAATGAATTTGGTAATGTAGCAGGATATAAAATTAACGCCCAGAAATCTATGGCTTTTTATACACCAATAATGAACTCACAGAAAGAGAAACTCGAAAAAAAAATCCCATTTACCATTATACCAAAAAAAATTAAGATACCTAAGAATAAACTTAAGTAAGGAGGTAAAAGAACTATACGTAGAAAACTATAGGACACTGAAAAAAGAGATAGAGAAGACATAAACAAATGGAAAAATATACAGTGCCCATGGATTGGTAGAATCAACAGCATTAAAATGTCCATACTACGCAAAACAATCTATAGATTCAATGCAAATCCCATTAAAATACCAATGGCATATTTCAAGACCTAGAACAAACTCTCCAAAAATTCATCTGGAATAAAAAAAAAAAAAAGACCCCGAATAGCCACAGCAATTCTGAGAAAGAAGAACAAAGTTGGCGGGATCACAATACCAGGTATCAAGCTATATTACAAAGTCACTGTTCTCAAACTGCCTGGTACTAGACAAAAACAGACATATAGACCAATGGAACCAAACAGAGAACCCAGAAATTGACCCAAGCCATATGCTCAATTAATATTTGACAAAGGAGGCAAGAGCATACAATGGAGTCAAGACAGCCTCTTCAATAAAAGGTATTGGGAGAATTGGACAGATACATGCAAAAAAATGAAACTAGACCACCAACTTATATCATTCACAAAAATAAACTCAAAATAGATAAAGGACTTAAACATAAGATGGGAAACCATAAAAATATTAGAAGAATCCATAAGCAGCAAAATATCAGACATATGTCATAGCAATAGCTTTACTGACATAGCTCCTAGGACAATGGAAACTAAGGAGAAAATAAACAAGTGGGACTACATCAAAATAAAAGGCTTTTGCACAGCAAAAGAAATCATCAACAAAACAACAGAGAGCCCACTGCATGGCAGAACATATTTGCCAATGTTATCTCTAATAAGGGTTTAATCTCCAACATTTATAGGGAACTCATACAACTTAACAAAAAGAAGATAAACAATCCAACCAAAAAATGGGCAAAGGACCTAAATAGATACTTTTCGAAAGAGGACATATGAAAACATGCTCAAAGTCACTAATCATCCAAGATACGCAAATCAACACGACAATGCGGTACCATCTCACACCTGTCAGAATGGCTATCATCAACAAATCAACAAACGACAAGTGCTGGAGAGGATGTGGAGAAAAAGGAACCCTGGTGCACTGCTGGTGGGAATGCAGTCTGGTGCAGCGACTGTGGAGAACAGTATGGTGTTTCCTCAAAAAATTAAAAATGGAACTCCCATTTGACCCAGTGATCACACTTCTAGGAATATATTCCAAGAAACCAGAAACACCAATCAGAAAGGATATATCACCCCTATGTTCAAAGCAGCACAATTTACAATAGCTAAGATTTGGAAACAGCCTAAGTGCCCATCAGCAAATGAGTAAATTAAAAAACTGTGGGACATTTACACAATGGGATACTACGCTGCTGTAAAAAAGAAGGAACTCTTGCCATTTGCAACAGCACGGATGGACCTGGAGAGCATTATGCTAAGTGAAATATGCCAGTCGGAGAATGATAAATATCACATGATCTCACTCATTTGTGGAATATAATGAACAACATAAACTAATGAACTAAAACAGATTCAGAGACATAGAAGCATTGAACAGACCATCAAACCTCAGAGGGAAGGCAGGGGTGTGGGGGAGTTTGGGTGGTGAGAGATCAACCAAAGACTTGTATGCATGCATGTAAACATAACCCATGAACACAGACAGTAGGGGGATGAGAGTGTGTGCTGGGGTGGGGTGGGGAGGGTGGGAACGTCCACGGAAAGGTCAATGGGGGAAAAAGGAGACATATGTAATACTTTAAACAATAAAAAATTAAATTTAAAAACAACAACAACAACAAAAAACCTGGAGCAGCCTCCTTATACAAAGATAGATGCTATGCAATTAAGATAGGAGAGCTGCCTTTTCAGCTCTGGACCACTTACCTCTGAATTGTTACATGAGAGGACCATAATGCTATATTGCTTAAGCTATAGAGGTTTTTACATCTCTTTTAATAGCAGTTTTAGACTGTAACCTAACCAGTAAATGTGAAACTATTAGACTGAACACAGAAAGAAAATGTTTTTATTAATATGTAGTTCAGAGGTTTTTTTGGGTTTTCTTTTTGGTGGGGAATGGAGGTGATATAGTTGACTTTATGCTGTAAATGCAAGCTCCTGAGCCATAAGCTGACTTATGTGAAAATGAACAGAAGTTCTGAGTTCTTATGATTCTTAACAATAATTAAATCTAAACTATATTCTTGGACCAGAAAGACTTTATTGGCTTTGTTTATTTTCATTCTTTCTATATTCTAGATTATTGGGACAATTGGTGAATTCTTAATACAGTTTACTGATTAGATGGTAATAATGTATCACTGTTTCCTTGATTTTAATTGGTATACTGTGGTTATTTAAAGGGAGTGGTATTGTATTTAGGGAATATACACTGAAGTATTTGGGGATAGTGGGACATCAAGTCTGCAACCTATTGTCAAATGATTCAGAAAAAATATTACCATGAGACAAAGAAGGAAAGGGGAAGAGAGAAGGAGAGAGAAAAAGGAAGGGTGGGAGAAACGGCAATATGGTAACCTGTTAACAACTGGGAAATCAAAGTGAAGGATATATGAAAGTCTTTAGTACTACTTTGGCAACTTTTCTGTAAATATGAAATTATTTCAAAATAATTTTTAAAAAGTAATGTTTAAAAAGACTTGGAAATTCACGTGTTTGAAAAATCAAAAACTAAATCAAACAGATTTTTACTACATACAAAATACAGGGGTGACATAGAAGAAAAGAAAAATAGGTAATACTGATCTGAGTTTCAGGACAAGTTCTGTCACTACTGACTTTAAGTCATCTAAGCTCTTTGAAATGAAGGCATTTACTTAAATGGTTCCTTTCTAGCCTTAAACTTCTCCAATTCTCGATTGCTTCCAAAGCTCTCCTCCTAACTACCTTCCATACATTTCCCATAAAATACCTGTTTCATAAAATTGATTTTTGTTAAAATAAATTCCAAGACCAAAGTTTATATGGTTTTTCAGTAAACTGAATAATCAACCTATTGAAACCATTAATAAGATGACTCAAAATCTTGTTTAGTTGGCAGCAGTTACCATACTCACATAATGTCCACACCTCCTGGAATAGCTGATGATGATGTCTGCTCTTTGCTGGATGAAGAATCAGTAGTACATTCTGGTTCAGATACTGAATCACTGCTGCAGGGCTCACTATTTGGAGATGCATTTCTTTGAGAGGTAGTGTCACTTGTTATAGGTGTTAATTCACTCTCACTGAATGCATCACTTATAAATATGTCTTCGTGGATTAAATATGCCACCTCTGTGTCCAGTGAATTATCCTTTGCAGCATTCTTCTGTTGCAAAATATCCTCCATTTCTCTAGTTCTTTGGTTTTTGTCAAGAACTGAGAGAACAACATTGTGAATGATATTTAACGTTGCCTATAAGAAAACAGGATACATTTTTAAAGGCTTTAAAATATCTTGCACCTAAAGTTCCTAAAAGTATATTCTGTGTATGAACATTTTATAAATGAGTCAAGGTCATGTATGTAAGAATTTCTACTAATCTTTTATTTTATTACACTGTAAAGGTGACTTGTGAAAAAGAACTGCTCAAGAGAAATGGGTTACCTAAAGCTTAAATAAAACTTCAGTATTTTAGTTGAGTTTGTAAATTAAAATCTCCCCAAAATACTGCAGATTTCTCTAACCTCTTAGATAGGTTACACTAAATATAACTTGCTTGTAAGAAATCATATTCAGGGGAGAACCAAGATGGCGGCATAGGTTAACGCCGGAGTTTGCTGCCTTGAACAACTACTTCAAAAGTGAAACTAAAAGATGGAACGGACATCACCCAGAACCACAGGAACGCTGGCTGAGTGGAAGTCCTACAACTAGGAGGAAAGAGAAACCCATACGGACACTCAGAGGAGGCGCAGTGCTGAAGTCAAATTCTGAGGTGCGGAGTGCGCGGAGCGGGCTGGCGGCGGAGGGCGCAGTTGGCGTTTTCAATCGGGAGGGAGTCTCAGACTCTGAGCTCCAGATACGGGCGAGTCTTTAGGGACCCAGACTCAAACGGGAGAAGCGGGACTGTCTGGCTTCCGTCAGAGGGAGTGCAGCTTTCTCTCTGAGGTTTGCAGCGGTTGCTGGGACTCAGAGAGGCAGAGCCCCTGGGGACAGGACTGAGAGCAGCCATAACTGCTCTCTCCGGCCCACCCTGTTGATCCTGTGCGACCCGCCCCGCCCAAGCCCTGCACAGAGGCATTTGCCGGATAGCCTCAGGCAAAGGCTAGATTAGCACCTCCCTAGAGGACAGAAGTTCTCTCACTGCAGACACAGCTGATTCTCACAGCCACTTGGCCTGGAGGTCAAACCCTCCCTGGTATTAGCTACAACAATCAAGGCTTAACTACAAGACTGCGCACAAAGACCACTAGGGGGTGCACCAAGAAAGCATAACAAAATGCGGAGACAAAGAAACAGGACAAAATTGTCAATGGAAGATATAGAGTTCAGAACCACACTTTTAAGGTCTCTCAAGAACTGTTTAGAAGCCGCCGATAAAACTTAATGAGATCTACAAGAAAACTAATGAGACCCTCGATGTTATGATGGGGAACCAACTAGAAATTAAGCATACACGGACTGAAATAACGAATATTATACAGACTCCCGACAGCAGACCAGAGGAGCTCAAGAATCACGTCAATGATTTGAAATGCGAGGAAGCAAAAAACACCCAACCGGAGGGGCGGAATGAAAAAAGAATCCAAAAATGCGAGGATAGTGTAAGGAGCCTCTGGGACAGCTTCAAGCGTACCAACATCAGAATTATAGGGGTGCCAGAAGATGAGAGAGAGCAAGATATCGAAAACCTATTTGAAGAAATAATGACAGAAAACTTCCCCCACCTGGTGAAAGAAATGGACTTACAGGTCCAAGAAGCGCGGAGAACCCCAAACAAAAGGAATCCAAAGAGGACCACACCAAGACACATCATAATTAAAATGCTAAGAGCAAAAGACAAAGAGAGAATCTTAAAAGCAGCAAGAGAAAGAAACTCAGTTACCTACAAGGGAATACCCATACGACTGTCAGCTGATTTCTCAACAGAAACTTTGCAGGCCAGAAGGGAGTGGCAAGAAATATTCAAAGTGATGAATACCAAGAACCTACAACCAAGATTACTTTATCCAGCAAAGCTATCATTCAGAACGGAAGGTCAGATAAAGAGCTTCACAGATAAGGAAAAGCTAAAGGAGTTCATCACCACCAAACCAGGATTATACGAAATGCTGAAAGGTATCCTTTAAGAAGAGGAAGAGGAAGAAAAAGGTAAAGATACAAATTATGAACAACAAATATGCATCTATCAACAAGTGAATCTAAGAATCAAGTGAATAAATAATCTGGTGATCATAATAGAATCAGGGACATAGAAAGGGAATGGACTGACTATTCTTGGGGGGGAAAAGGGTGTGGGAGACGCGGAAAGAGACTGGACAAAAATCGTGCACCTATGGAAGAGGACAGTGGGTGGGGAGTGAGGGCGGAGGGTGGGGCAGGAACTGGGAGGAGGGGAGTTATGGGGGGGAAAAAGAGGAACAAATGTAATAATCTGAACAATAAAGATTTCATTAAAAAAAATCAATAAAATATATTTAAAAAAAAAACAAAAAACAAAAAACATCTGATTAAAAAATGGTCAGACTTCCACACCTGATGAACAGCTTCAAACTACATCAAATCACCAGAAACTCTGCAGGTCAGAGGGAGTGGCAAGAAATATTTAAAGTGATGAAAAATAAGGACCTACAACAGAGATTACTTAGCAAAGCTATCATTTAGAATTAAAGGTCAGATAAAGAGCTTCCCAGACAAGAAAAAGCTAAAGGAATTCATCACCACCTAACCAATATTACATGAAATATTAAAAGGTGAAGAAGAAGGAAGAAGAAGGAGAAAGAAGGAGGAAGAAGGAGGAGGAGGAAGAGAAGGAGGAGGAGGAGAAGAAGGAGGAGGAGGAGCAGCAGCAAAGAAAATATTTCTCCAAAGATATTAAAAATAGTAATAAGCACATAAAAAGGTCAACATCACTTAATCATTAGAAAAATGAAAATCAAACCAAAATGAAGTACAACCTTACACCCGTTATGATGTCTACTATCAAAAAAAGAAAAAGCAACAAGTGTTGGCAAGAATGTGGAGAAATTAAAATCATTATGCACTACTGGTGGGAATATAAAACTGCAGCTGTTATGAAAAACAACATGGAAGTTCCTCGAAAAATCAGAAAAAGAATTGTCATATAATCCAACAATTCCACTTCTGAACATATACCAAAAGAACTGAAAGCAGCTATGAGATATTTGTTCATATTGTGAAGCATTATTCACAATAGCAAAATGTGGAAGCAACTCAAGTGTCCACTGACAGAAGAAGGAATGAACAAAATGTGGTACATACTATATATATATCCCACGTTCAAAGGATGTTAAATCGCGTTGTTTACCCATATCTTCAGAAAAAAATCACTTCTACTGTCATGTTCAGCAACCTGCTTCCCTATTTATAATGGTCTGGCCCTCTAGCAACTTCACGAAATTATAGCTAATCTGCCTACAAACATCAGGTGGTCATAATAATCTGGCCACTCAGTGTATATATTTAAATGGGATGTTATTTAACCTTAGAAATGAATGAAATTTTGACACATGCCACAATGAATGAACCTTGAGAACATTAAGCTAAATGAAACAAACCAATCTCAAAAGAAAAATACTGTATATTTAGCCCTGGCCGGTGTGGCTCAATGGCTGGAGCATCGACTCCCGCACCAAAGAGTTGCAGGTTCAATTCTCAGTCAAGGGCACATACCTAGGTTGTGGGTTCACTCCCCACCCCCGGTTGGGGCACATATGAGAGGCAACAAGTTGATGTGTCTCTCTCACATCAATGTCTCTCTCTCTCCCTCCCTTCTGCTCTCTCTGAAAAGCAATGGAAAATACCCTAATGTGAGGATTAACAACAAAAAAATACTATATAATTACACTTATATGAAGTACCTACAGCAGTCAAACTCAGAGAGGCAGAAAGTAAATGGTGGTTGCCAGGAGATGGAAGGAGGAAAAGGTAAGTAATTGTTTATTTTATTTTATTTTTTAGCTAGAGGCCCGGTGCACAAATTCATGCACGGGTGGGGTCCCTAGGCCTGGCCAGCAATCGGGGCTAATTGGGGCCATCTTGCCTAGTCAGGATCAGGGCCAATGGGGACCAGCCAGCCGGGGAGGGATCACGGGAGGTTGGCCAGCCAGCGGGGGAGGGACCATGGGAGTGCTCCAGGGTGTGTCCGGCCCTCTCGCCCAGTCCCAATCAGCGGGACCCCAGCAGCAAGCTAACCTACTGGTTGGAGCGTCTGCCCCCTGGTGGTCAGTGCATGTCATAGCAACTGGTCGAGCTGTCGACCAATCAGTCAGACACTTAGCAAATTATGCTTTTATTATATAGGATATGTTTTTATTGATTTCAGAGAGAAAAAGGGAGAGAAAGAAATAGAAACATCAATGATGAGAGAAAATCATTGATTGGATAACTCCTGCATGCCCCCTATGCGAATGGAGCCCACATCCTGGGCATGTGCCCTGATCTGGAATAGAACCACAACCTCCTGGTTCATAGGTCGACACTCAACCACTGACCCACAAAGGCTGGGCAAGTTATTGTTTTAATACTACAGAGTTTCAGTTTTTTTAGATGAAAAGTTCTGTAGATGGATGGTGATGATAATAGCAAAACAATGTGAATGCCACTAAACTGTACAATTAAAAATGGTTAAGGGAGAACCAAGATGGCGGTGTAGGTAAACACCTTACTCGCTGACTCCGACAACCACATCAAAATTACAACTAAAATGCAGAGAACCATCATCCAGAACCACTTGAAAACTAGCTGAATAGAAGTCCTACAACTAGAGAAGTGAAGAAGGAAGCACGCTGAGACTGGTAGGACAGGCAGAGGCACTGACCAGGCTGGACCGGCACCCATGTGTGCAGTTTTTTTAATCAGGAGGGAAATGCCCTCTGTGGAGGCCCCCCGTGAGGAGCAAGGGGTCCCATGCCCACACTAGACCCCCAACCCAGGCTCCCAAAGCTAGAAAATGAAGTCCCCAAAACTAAGGGCTGTCAAAACCAGCGGGGATTGTGGTTGAGTGACATGGAGGCTGCTGGAGACCCAGATGTTCCTCTTAAAGGGCCGGCACATAAACTAAACTTACAAGGTCCTACTTCCTCTGAGCTCTAGTGCCAATGTGAAGCCCCGGGGCACCAGACACTTATGAATAGGAATTGGATTATCTGGCATCAAGGCAGGAACTCGAGAGTGGCTTTCTCCCAGATGGAGGTGCTCACAGGGGTCATTATTCCTATGCTGGGACCTCCCCTTTTGCAGGGCTAATTGGCAGCCATTTCTGTTTGCTCCACCCTGGTGATTCCCTGAGACCCCACCCCATCCAATTTGCAGCCCCACCCATGCTCTTTGCAGCAGCTTTTGCATATGAATGGCCTGTCCTTGCTCAGGCTTCAGACTTTGCTAAAATCTCTCAAACAAGCTGTAGCTGGGTCAAGGAGCCCCAAATCTATCAATAAAAGGCCTAAGACCTGGCACTAGTACCAGCCTGCCTTGCTTTACAACTAAGCCTTGCCTGGGCACTTCCAAGCCCGATACAAATAGGAGGAATCTGCAGATCTCTCTGTAGCTCCTGCTGGGTGGCCCCAGGCAGTGGCTGACTTTGCACCTCCTTGGAGACTCAAGAGCTAGTGCACCCAGTGGTCATCATCAGACCATATCAGATTACAGCTCTACATATCTATAAGTGACCACTCAAGGGGCAGACTCAGTGAACACCAAAGTCCCACTGAAGCCAGTCCTGCTCTATAGGGGTGTCTCCTGCACAGCAGTTCTTGCACTGTAGTCGTAGCTGGTCTTCACAGTCAATTGGCCTAGAGGTCAATTGCTCCCAGTGACACCAACAGCAATCAAGTCTCAACTACAACAAGACTGTGCACACAGCCCACAAAGGGGGGCACCTAGAGTGCCCAGCTCAGGTGACTGGGGAGGCTAAGCCACTAGGCCCTATAGGACACCTACTACACAAGGCCACTCTACCTACTCAAGGAGACATAGCAGCTCTACCAATACATACAAACAAATACAGGGAAGCAGGCAAAATGTGGACACAAAGAAACATGTCACAAATGAAAGAAATGAAAGAAAGCAAACTACTGGATATAGAATTCAAAACCATGGTTATAAGGTTACTCAAGAATCTTCATGAGACCGTCAGGGATTTGGTGAGATTTTCAAGGATCTTAGTGAGAATGCCAATTCTATGCAATGTGAAAATCCTCCATATCCAGACATGCAATAACAGAAGTGATGTCATGGTGGGAATATAAGGAAAAGTGAAAACATGACCTAGTTATTGATCAATCCACAGATACAGGTTTCCTATCTCTGTCAACAGGTGGGATCAACATTTTGGTAGGAGTCTAAATTAGGTATAGTGAATAACATTTTATTCAACTTTTACCACTCTGGAGAGCTTATGCATGTGACTTAGCAATACTCAAATGTCAGCAATGTAAAGTCATGTCATAGATAAGTCCCTAAGTCCCTAAGACCATTTTAACATGATACTCAGGAGATGCCAGAATGTTAACCAGTACATATAACATAATACTGATCCTATCTAATAAAAGAGAAACATGGTAATTAGCATACGACCGCTACCCTTCCCATTGGCTAATCAGTGAGACATGCAAATTAACTGCCAGCCAAGATGGCGGCCGGCAGCCAGGCAGCTTGAAACTAACATGAGGCTTGCTTGCTTCAGTGATGGAGGACTCCAACGTTCCCCACCTGCCTTGCCGGCCTCTGAGCTTGCAGTTTAAGAAACATTATAACAAATATAGAAGCTAAACAAAACCCCAGAAACCTGCTTTCAGCGAGCCCAGGATCTCAGAGCTGGAGTTATACAGTGTTTCGATTATAGAACCAAAACAAACCAGATACCTTCTTTCAGCAGCAGAGGCCTCAGAGCTGGAGCCAGAGCTAAAGCTGGCCCAGAATAAAAAAGAAAAAAAGGAGGAGTTGGGAGCTTCAGTCGGCCTGAAAACAGCCCTCAGCCCCTCATCCAGACTGGCCAGGCACCCCAGTGGGGACCCCCACCCTGAAGGGTGTGTGACCAGCTGCAAACAGCCATCATCCCCTCACCCAGGCTGGCCAGGCACCCCAGTGGGGACCCCCACCCTGATCCAGGACACCCTTCAGGGCAAACCAGCCAGGCCCACCCATTCACCAGGCCTCTATCCTATATAGTAAAAGGGTAATATGCCTCTCAGCACCGGGATCAGTGGAGCCACGAGGCCTCCCGGCACCGGGATCAGCGTGACAGGGGGCAGCGCCCAAACCCCCTGATGGCCCTGCGGCTCTGTGTGACAGGGGGCGGGGCCACAACCTCCCTATCTGCCCTGCTCTGTTCGGGACAGGGGAAGGCGCCCCAACCCCCTGATCAGCCCTGCTCTGTGCCTGATAGGGGGGAGCTCCCCAACCCCCTGATCTCCCTGCGGCTCTGTGTGTGACAGGGTGCGGCGCCTCAATCCCCTGATCGGCCCTGCTCTGTGTGTGACAGGGTGCGGCGTCCCAACCCCCACCCCCCACAGGCCCTGCTCTGTGTGTGATGGGGTAGAGCCATAACCTCCCCATCGGCCCTGCCCTGAGTGTGAGAGTGGCGGCGCCCCAACCCCCTGATCCGCCCTGCCCTGAGTGTGACAGGGGCCGGTGCCCCAACTCCCCTATCAGCCCTACTCTGTGAGTGACAGGGGGGAGCTCCTCAACCCCCTGATTGGCCCTGTGCATGACAGGGGGTTGCTCCCCAACCCCAATTGACCCTGCTCTGTGTGTGACAGGATACGGAGCCCCAACCCCCCTGATGGGCCCTGCTCTGTGCGTGACAGGGGGCAGCGCCCCAACCCCCTGATTGGCCCTGCTCTGTGCGTGATAGGGGGTGGCGCCGCAACCTCCCCATCAACCCTGCCTTGAGTGTGACAGGGAACGGTGCCCCAACCCCCCAATCGGCCCTACCCTGAGTGTGACTGAGGGTGGCATCGCAACCTCCCAATCTGCCCTGCTCTGTGCATGACAGGGGAAGGCACCCTAACTCCCCAATCAGCCCTGCTCTGAGCCTGACCAGGGGCTGCACCTAGGGATTGGGCCTGCCCTCTGCCACCCAGCAGCAGGCCTAAGCCAGCAGGTCGTTATCTCCCGAGGGGTCCCAGATTGCGAGAGGGCACAGGCCGGGCTGAGGGACCCCCCCTCCCCCCGAGTACACAAATTTTTGTGCACCGGGCCTCTAGTATATGATAATTAAAAGAGTATCTCATTTCATAAATAGCCTACTATACTCAGTAATTCCTAATGACTTTCTCTTATTAAAATACAATCCCAAACAAAATGTATTAGAGTCTGTGACATCTTTTCTTCCCCAAAACGCTGTGTGGTATGTGTTCTTTTCCTTATATTTAATGGCCTAAAAGTAAGTGGTTTGACTAAAGAGACAAAATAATTAAATGTAATACATGATCCTTAATTGGATCCCAGATTGAAAAATGAAATAAAAACCTGCAACAAAGGACATTAATAAAGCAATTTAAATATGAAATATGTTTAAAAATGCCATCATCAACACTAAATTTCTAGAAAAATTAAGTGATTTAGGAGAGATTTTTGAATTTTATACAACATTGGACCTCTAGATAATCTAGAGATTCAGGCCTCATAAAATCAGAAAATATTACTGTATAACATTTAATGCCAAGCAAGCTTATTTCTTTTTAATATCAAATAAATCATCCAAATTATAAAAGGTACCAAAATACTCTGCAACACTTCAAATCTTATTTAAAAACAGGACTTAGAAAAATTACTAAAACAAAGAAATTGTGTTTTGTTCTAGTTTGATTCTATATATATTTATAAATCTAGAAAGTTGACTTAATTTTAGGGATATTTTGGATAAACTGATACTCATATAAGCTTACCTTAACTCTCTGTAGGAAAACTGTAAACTTAAAGAAAATATCCTTTAGCAGATCAAACCACTGAGGAAAATTCAACATTCTCATCTGATCTGCGAGCCTACAAAAAAAAAAAAAAGAAATCAAACAAAAATAATGATTGTCTTTGGGCCAAATGATATATGAAATAAACGTACAAATTAAAGGAAACTATACTAAATACTAGTATAGTTTTTATACTAGTATACTAAATACTATCTAGTAACATAAGAATTATGTAATTTCATCTAGATACCTTATATCAAAAAATTGAGTTTGGGTCAATTACCAACCAACTCCTGCTTGGTTAAATATTTTTAAGACTAACCTAGTCAAGTATACTGACTTATGAATCTTACAAAATAATTCCATGTGAGCATGATTCGTGACCATTGGGTGAAAAGCCAGAGAGAGATAAACCAATTTTTGTTTAAGGTAGAGAAGAAATATTCTGAAGTAAGTAAAAATAGGAATATAACATCTCCCTTAATAACTTAATAACCTATTTTTCTAATTACAAGCTAAAAAGTACTTTTCCATATATGGCATGGTGGCTAAGAGCATGAGCTCTGGGGCCCACAATGCCTTGGATCAAGCTCCAGCCCTGCCATTTACTAGCTGTATGACTTTGGACAAGTGACTTAATCCCTGCATGCTCTCATTTTCTCACCTTAACATGGGTGAAAGTAACAGAACTTACCTTGTATGATTGCTATGAATATTAACTGAGTTAATAAGAAGTACATAGAATAATTCATGGTGCATAAAAAGTTCTATGTATTAACCAGTATGGTATCAGTATACATATATATGAATCATTATATATCATATTAGTATAATATATAATAGTATAGCCAATATTTTATAGCTGACAACAATCAATAACTTCAAGATAAAAAGTTAATGCAAAATAGTGCCATAAAAATATTTTATAGTATTACAATGACATTACTCTAAATTTTTAATGAATGCTGCTGCAGCTAAGAGTTTATTTTCCAAAGATACTCCTATACTTGAGATACAGGAAGTTCTCTATTTGAGGAAATATCCGAGGGAAGAAAAAAATTAAAAATAACTGACTCTCCATTTCTATAGGGCTTTTAAAAGAGTCCCAATAACTTAACTTTTCTAACTACTGCACTAGTGATTCCTGCAGTATTAGGGATGCTTCAACTAACTCTGAAACTGAGTTTTCACTAGGTAATGGTATGTAAATTAAAACTCCACATCTTCATTCTATGAGTCTGACCTAGAGGAGTTTCACATTTGTCCATATTGTTAGTCATATTTTAGGCCAGTCAATAAAGTTTATATATCTATTTGAATGAGAAATTCAGTCATAAAATATTTATCACTATTCTCAAAATAAAAGAATTAGGATTACAATGGTGAAAATAAAGTTATAGATATGGGCAATTCAAAATCATGTACTCAACTTTTCAAAGCCAATTAGAAGCTGGGTTTTAATTATTTGGGCTACTAATTTAAATTTCACACTGATATCCTCTGAAATGGATTATCTTCAATTTCCCCCCTCCGTATCTACATTGTATTCTCTCTAACCTCTTTCTGCCATGGGAGGCTGATCTGCTGGGCTTGGTCAATGAGGAACCTTTACAAAAGATTGGAAGGAAGAGCCCTGGCCAATGTAAGTCAGTTGACTGGGCGTAGTGCTGGGCACTGAAAGATTGCAGGTTTGATTCCTGGTCAGGGCACAGGCCCAGGTTGTGGGCTCAATCCCCTTTAGTGAGTGTGCAGGAGACAGCTGATCAATGTTTTGCTCTCACATGGATGTTTCTCTCCCTCTCTCTCTCCCTTACTTTCTCTCTCTTAAAAAAAAACAAACCCAAAACAATCAATAAAAATTGTTTAAAAAGACAGGAAGGAGAAAAGGTGCTCATAACTCCATCTCCTCTCCTTGAGGTGTTTACCTCCAGATGACTGCCTCCCTCCAGTGAAGACAATTTCAACTACTGAATGTCTTTTTTCCCCCTACCACTACATATCTTTCTCCTTCTGAATTCTATTAACTGCTCTCTTCCCTTAATAGAATTCAGAAGGAATTCTGTGACTGATATTTATACTTACTTCGTAACAGCATCTGTGTCTAGTTCTTCTATTTGTGAAACTTTATTAATCACACACTGCAAAATTTAAGAAAAAAATGTGATTAATGTGAATTCTAAGTACTGTATATTTAAAAGGGCTTCAATGGGTAGAAATGAAAAAAATTTAAAAAGTGTTACTTTGAAAATACATCTTAAAATTAAATGAAAGTAAAAAGGCCTCAATGATTCTGATAATTATCTTACCAGACTCCTCTTGTGTCTCTTATACATACCTCAAGGTGTTTAAAAAACTTCAGCATTACCATTACCCTATTAAATAATTATTCCAGGGTAGCTTAAACTGTATTAATTAAAATCTCCTACTATTTAAAACTATTCAAAACATAAAAGAACACGGAATTATAATACTTAGGAACAAGATATAAACCCCATACTAAAACCCCAAATAAAATATGACAAATTTCTGTATGCTGATTTCGTATCCCACTATTTTAGTGAATTTCTTTATTAATTCTATTATCTTTTAGTTGGATTCTTTAGGGTTTTCTATATATAGTATCATGTCATCTGCAAATAGTGACAGTTTTACTTCTTCTTTTCCAATTTGGAGCCTTTTATTTATTTTTCTTGTCTGATTGCTGTGGCAAGGGCTTCCAGTATTATGTTGTAATAGTGGTGAGAGTGGGCATCCTCGTCTTATTCCTGATCTTAGAGGAAAAGCTTTTAGCTTTTCACCATTAGGTATGATGTTAGCTGTATGCTTGTCATTTAGAGCCTTTACCAAGTTGAGGTAAGATCTTTCTATACCCACTTTGTTGAGAGTTATCATAAATGGATGTGGAATTTTGTCAAATGCTTTTTCTGCATCTATTGAGATAATCATAGGATTTTTATCCTTGGTTTTGTTGATGTGATGAATCACGTTGTTTTTTGGATGTTGAACCACACTTGTATCCCTGGTATAAATCCTATTTGACCATGTAGTATAATCCTTTAACGTACTGTTGAATTCAGTTTGCTAGTATTCTGCTGACAATTTTGTTCATCAGTAATGTCAATAGATGAATGGCTAAAGATGTGTGACACACACACATGTAGTATTGTATATTGTGTATATATACACTCACACACTGGAATATTATGCGGCAATAAAAAAGAATGAAATCTTGCCATTTGCAAGAACATGGATGGATCTAGAGGGTATTGTGCTAAGTGAAATAACACAAATATGGTATACTTTCACTTATGTGTGGAATCTAAAAACAACAACAAATGAACAAACGAAACAACAATAGATTTATAGAAACAGAGACTAAAGGGATGATTACCAGAAGTGAGTAGATGGGCGAAAAGGGGAAAGGAATACAGTCTGTAATATTGTGATAAGTTTGCACAGGGAAGATGATTACTATAATTAGTGGGGTGATCACATTTAAGATATAAAAATGTTGAAACTAATATAACCAATATAATATTGTTTACCAACTAGAATTAAGTTTTAAAAAATGTAATTCCAAAAGAAATTTATTTTGGAAGCTACATTTTCTTTTTCTTTTTTAAAATATATTTTTATTGATTTCCGAGAGGAAGGGGGAGAAAGAATCATTGATCAACTGCCTCTTGCACACTCGCCACTGGGGATCTAGCTCGCAACCCAGGCATGTGCCCTTGACCGGAATTGAACCTGGGACCCTTAGGTCCCCAGGCCGATACTCTATCCACTGAGCCAAACCAGCTAGGGCGGAAGTTACATATTCTTGCAATACATGCAACAGTTTAAAGTTGAAAAAAAAATGCTTAGACTTCAAGAGAAGTTTGGGAATTAAAACAGCAGTTTAAAAAACTTATTTAAAAGCATAGTATTCTTACAGAAAATTGTACAAATTATGTTTATTGCTCAATATTTTTTCACAATGGAATACACCTGTGTAACCAGAACTCAGATCATGAAACTGAACACTGTCAGTAAGCCATTCTCCTGCTCCCCTCCAAGTAACTGTTTCCTCCCAAAAGTCACTCCTATCCTGATTCCTAAAACAATAGATGTTTGAATCAAGTGAGTGGAATCATATAGTGTATATTCCTTGGTGTCTAGTTTATTTGGCTACACATTATGTATGTGATATTCATGCACATTGTTGTATGTAATTTATTCATTCTCATTGGTGTATAGTATTCAATTATATAAATATACCACAATTCTATTTATCTTTTCTACTGATGACAGAATTTTTTTCCATTTTTTTAATATAAATAGTGCTACAATGAAATTCTTATTGTGTCTTCGGTGAGCTTATGTATGCATTTTTGTCAGGTAAATACTTTGAAGTAGAACTGCTGAGTTGTAAGTGTATATTTAGCACTAGCAGATAGTGCCAACAATTTTTTAAAGTGGTTTTAACTATTTTAAAATAGTGTTTCAGCCAGTGTTTGAAAGAGGTAAAAGATGGAGTGACTATAACTTTTTACTTGATTTAAACATTAAAAACTTGGTATTGTACATTCAACTTCATGATGGTCAATTAAGCCTAGTAAACACATTTTAAATTGTTTTTTTTCTTTATACAGAAAAACTGAAGTTCAATAAATAAGATTTCTCTGAGTAAAAAAAGCCAAAACAGAGATCAGGAAAGACTAAAAAAACACACATGGATTTCAGTTTACAATTATGATTTCTTAGAGATCAAATGTAAGATGAAATGAACATTTATCTACTGCTGGTGACAGTATATATTGTTAATTTTAAAAAATTTAAAAATTGGTCACTTTCTGACCAATAATTCCACTTTTAGAAATCAGTTGTAAGGAAACAGTCTTATATAAAACCAAACAAACAAAAAATTGTATACCACAGACACTTGTCACAATGTTCTTAACAGCACCAACCTGAAAACAACTTAAATATGTAGCATAAAGAAAATGTTAAGTTTAACATAATATTGATGAAATTTTATACAATCACTAAAAATCTAACTGAAATGTATGAACAAATAAAAATATATATAGGATGATAATAATGAAAACCATCAGTAACAATTTATACTTGTAAATATTATTAAATTATAATATTTTAGCTGATAGGGCTATGTTTTACTTTTCTACATTTTCAGCTTTTAAATAAATGAAAAAATATTACTATTATACTATATATACTATTTCTAGGATCATGTAAAAACAAACTTCACAAAAGATTCTAGAATAAAATATATCAAATAAAAATGTATAGTTACCTGTTTAATGATATTCTTTGCCGTAATAATCATTTCTTCACTATAGATTTCTAAAAAATTAAGTTTTCTTTGTTTTAAAAGTCCAAATACAAGAGATACTAGTCTTTCCTATCAAAATAAAAGAAGAGTGTGTAACTTCACACTTTAAATACCAAATAATCTTAGAGATAGAAATATTAAACACCAAGGGTTTTATTTTTAGATGCTCAGAAACCTATACTACACATGGTATTTTTTAGAAGCCTGGAAAGAAACAAACAAAAAAACCCTTCTACTGCAATCTGGTCATCAGATTTTTGGAGTCAGTGTTCTAAAACAGACAAATCCTATTCCATAAGAGTGGATCAAATGAAGCTGGTTTAAGGACAAGACAATACAAAAATGTATTTTAGCCTAGTTTCAAGTAGCTAGAAAATACCTTTCTTAAACCCTGATGACTAACAATACTCCGTGATCCATGTGCTTTTTAAATTAGTGGTCTAGAAGACTGGAATGATGACCTGGACTATCTGTGGAGAATTAACTGCTAACAGGTACAAATAGCTCTTAATTACTTAGACTGCTGTCAGGGCTTTTTGGAACTTTACTAGTTCTTAGCATTAATCAGCATTGAGAAGTTACCACATAAGTAAAGCCTGGATATGATGTATTAGTGTATGCATGTGCATAAAACATGTTCATAATAGGTGCTCAGTGAATGTGAATGACTGATGAGTTATATAAGAATAATCACTTTTTAAAGAGATATACTCCAGTACATGCATATACATGGATATACGTTAATTTGTCCATATCTACATTTTGAATTTGGTTTGTAATCTATATAGAGACCTCATTTTAACTCCAATTTCTAATTAAGCTATAAAATTATTTTATTCTCTAATTTCACAGGATAATAAACAATTATGATACTTGCTAAAATCACATATGAAGTACTTTATAGGTCTAATAAAACTTGAAATTTAATGTAATTTTGTTCCCTATAATCTGAGAAGAATGTGTTCTAAACTAAGGGTTTTAGGAATTAGCACCAAGCAATGACATAAATTTCATTCCAGTGCTTAAAAACCATACCTCTTCTAAAATTTGACAGTCATCTTCCAGTGGTCTATTTAAGTCACTGTGACAATAAGTAGAAAATTCTGCAATCATCATTTTATCTATCAGTTTTTCTAATTCACAAAGCTGTGATCCCAAATGCCTACAAAGGAAGAAGAAAATGTTACATATAAAAAATCCAAATTCACTCCATGATTAAGGGAACTATAGGCAAAACTTTTCTGACAGTACTTGTGCAATAATGTGATGCTTTAGTAAAATGGAGTCCTTTAACTTAACAAAAAAAACTGCAACAGTTTCACATCACCTCCCAAATTGTATTTTTCTCTTTAACTTCCAGTTAAATGTTATAGGAAACCTGGTTCTAGAAATTTTTTCTGCCAAGGGCCATTTGGATATTTATAATACCGTTCTTGGGCCATACAAAAGTATCAACTTAAAAATTAGCCTGCTATATTTGGTCAAACATTTAATTAACTCACTTCTAATGCTTTGCAGGGCCATTCCAAATGATTTTGCGGGTTTTATATGGCCCATGGGCTGGACATTCTCCACCCCTGATTAAACATCAATGCCAGTAGCTCCCAAGCCATTCATTTATTCAACAAATACAAGCACCTACTATGTGCCAGGTCCTGCTCTGGGTACATATAAATATCTGAAGGACTATCAGGACAGATTGACTCAATTCAATCTCTGTCATCATCAGTTTGAGTTACTGTGCAATATCCCTCAGGTCCAAAGAGAATTATTTCAACTGACTTTAAAACAGTAATTTATCCATTCATCCACAAAGAATATATCTTAAGGAAAAGAAATCCTACATTACAAAAGTAATCATATTGTTAGTTCTGAGAGCATTCTATTTATATTGTAGGATAAAACAAATGAGTAATTATGTTGACATCATTAGGAACTACAGTTTTCAGCCTGTTCAAAAGGATATGAGTAAGACTGAAGTAAAAACTCTACAGTCCTGAAACTAATTGAAACTATCATTAGAAACTCATATTTTTTTATAAAGGGAAAATTATTCTCTAGCGCTTTCCACTACAAATTATCTCTGGTACCTAGGCTGTAATTTTAAAATACCATTTCCTACTAAGAGAAACTAGAGCTCTTTAGAAAAATGGCAGATTACAAGTCTGGGGCAGAAAATATGTAGGAGTATCTTGTCATAACACAAAGTAAGAAAACAATCAATGACTACTCATGGAATCATGTCTCAATAATGAATTGGAGGAGGTTCCTACAAAAGATAGGACAATTTGAACATTGATAAAAACAAAAACAGCAACAAACTTAAACACTTCAAATATATATAAATTCCATGTGTTTATAAAAATATTTTTAAAAACTCATCAGTCACCTTTGGAAGATGCTGGATTTTCAAATCACTATTTTTTAAAAGTTCTAAATAAGGGAAAAGAATCTAGAATTTATTCTGCCTACACTTATAAGAAATGTCCTTCAGAGTTATCAAATAGTTGTTACGTAGAAACACTGATTTAAGGAAATATTCCAGTTAGTAAATTAATAAAGAAGTATAGAATTAGAATATCATAATTTGGAACCCATAATAGATTAGTCTACCAGGGGTGGGCAAACTTTTTGACTCGAGGGCCACAATGGGTTCTTAAACTGGACCGGAGGGCCGGAACAAAAGCATGGATCGAGTGTTTGTGTGAACTAATATAAATTCAAAGTAAACATCATTACATAAAAGGGTTACGGTCTTTTTTTTTTAGTTTTATTCATTTCAAACGGGCCGTAGTTTGCCCACGGCTGGCTAGGCAATGAACATCAATGGCTGCTAGTATCACAAAAAGAGAGACAACCAGATATATGCATCTTGACTGAAATATACACCACTACCTATTAGATACTCTTGACAAAAAGTAAAACTTAAATCTGGTCAAGACTTTAAATCTAACTACCAGTTTATAAAAATTATAGGCAAAAGAAAAACACGCTAAACATGAGGGTGTAGTTGGCAAAACCCAGACTCTCAGAAGGCTCTAAAAGACAACTCAATTTCTTCAATAAATATTTTGAAAGGAAGAATACAAGAAGAATAGGGAACTATAAATCAAGACACTTGAAATATATTAACCAACTGCAATGCATAGATGATATCTGGATATTTTTTTCAAGAAAAACTATAAAAATGAATTTTGAGATAAACAGGAAAATCTGAACATTCACTAGATATTTGAAAGTATAAATGATATTAGAGTTATGTTTTTTAAAATCTTTTTCTTTCAAAGATATATCATGAAATATTTATGGAAGAAAGGAAATGATGTTTTGAATTTGTTTCCAATACAGGAGTAGGTGGAGGGACATAGAGGAAAAAAAATTGGCTATGAGTTTGTAACTCACGTGCAATACACAATTTACCTAGCTTCATACAACTCTCTCATATAATTTCTTCTACTTTTTAATATGTCTGAGTTTTCAGTAAGTTTTAAAATGTACTAACAGAGCAGGATATAAATCTACCCATAACTTTACTATTTCTTGGTTCTTAAATTTTATGAAAATCAGATTTCTTTTTAAGGCACACTAGAGGTTACACTCAGGTATGTGTTACATTCAGGTATGAATGGTCTTCAACAAATTCCAACAAAGAATTATGGTGATAAGTCAATATGATTATATCTACTGATATTTGGGCATCAAAATAAAACTCTAATTTCAGCATAATAACTTATAAGTGAGGGTCTATTTGACCTCACATATTGTCTTAATTAAGTAGCTTCATTTTTATGCATTCTTTAAGTACTTTCAAAGTCTGATAACTATAATTTTAAAAAGGCAGATATGAATTTTAATGTTAACATCAATAGTACATAATCACAGGTACATGATATATACACAAAGATTTGTCTAAACAAATCCTTAAAACTTTCAGGATTAAGATGTTCTACAAGATTCACCTATTCATCCTTGCTCTAATTGTTTTTTATATTCTTGACTGCTTTGAGAATAGATATCATAATAATGGTTTGCATATTGTTAACCTTATAAAAATATTTAAGATAAATCTATTAACAATTCATTTTAAAAGTATGTATACTTTCTGTATATAAGCTTGGCCTCTACAGATTCTGCCCCTACCTTCTTTTCTGGGTGTTTGTTGTTTGCATTTATTGGTTTATCTGTTTGTTTTGTGGTGTTTTCTCAACATATATATTTTTTTTTCTTTTTTCTTCCTTTTTCTTTTCCCTCCTCAATATAATTTGTGCTCTCTTTACTCTCCCCTAATTCTCTTTTCTCTGATGGTCACTTATATTGGTGTTATCGATGTCATGAGCACATTCGTGTTTTGTTTGCTTTGTGTCATGTCTTGTTGAGTTGCATTTTGTCCTCTTTGGTCAATGTGGTAGAGAGCGAGCCACATAACCAGACACCTGGAGAGGAGACACCATCCACAAACGGGTCAATAACACTCTACCAGGGGTGGGCAAACTTTTTGACTCGAGGGCCACAATGGGTTCTTAAACTGGACCAGAGGGCCGGAACAAAAGCATGGATGGAGTGTTTGTGTGAACTAATATAAATTCAAAGTAAACATCATTACATAAAAGGGTACGGTCTTTTTTTTTTTTTTAGTTTTATTTATTTCAAACGGGCTGGGTCCGGCCCGCGGGCCGTAGTTTGCCCACGGCTGCTCTAGAGGCAGGAAGATGGCAGCCGGGAGGACGGCAGTAAGGGAGAAAGCGTGAGTGAGGGAGCGAAAGGGGACTGTGTGGAAGTATGGTGTGTGTGTGTGTGTGTGTGTGTGTCTACATGAGTGAGGGACAGTTAGATCCTGCAGGACCTTCAAGGGCTGGTGGACCGGGCCCACCTAGCCAGGCAGCCTCTGCTACCATTGCAAAGAGTCCCAGGGCAGCCAGCTCTACCACAGAGGCCATGCCATCTTGAAAGGGAGAGCTGCTGTGACTGGGAACCCACCACTGCTGCAAGCAGCCACATGAGCAGTGCGCATCCGAATAGCCGCCGCCAACTGAGGAGCAGCCATTGCCCGAGTAGCCACTGCTGCCTGAGGAGCAGCCACCATCTGAGTAGCCACTGCTGCCCGAGGAGCAGCCCTCGCATTACTCAACACCTAGATCCTTCAGTGAGAGCAAAAATGGGGAGACAAAAAAAAAACCCTAAAGGAAAGAAAAGGGAAAATCACCAGAAAAGCTAAGTGAAACGAAGGCATGCGATGTGTTAGGAAAAGAATTCAGAATAAGGGTCATATAGTTCATAAACTGGGATGGATGAAAAAAATCAACAACTTATGTAAGAATCAAGAGGAAATAGAGTGATATAGTTACAATAAAAAACACTATGGAAAGTTTCAACAGTAGACTAAGAAAAGCAGAGGACCGAATTAGCGAATTAGAAGACAGGGCAGCAAAAGACACCCAAACTGAACTGCAATTGGAGAAAAAAAATTGAAAGACAGAAGGACAGCCTAAGGAAGCTTTGGGACAACATGAAACAAAACAACATCCATATAACAGGGTGCCAGAACGACAAGAAGAGGAACAAGGGTTAGAAAACCAATTTGAAGAAATAATGTCAGAAAACTTCCCTAATTTGGGGAAGAAAAAAGTCACACAAGCACAGAGTCCCAAACAATATGAACCCAAAAAGACCCAAACCAAGACATGTTGTAATTATGATAGCAAATGTTCAGGACAAAGAGAGAATCTTAAAGGCTGCAAGAGAGAGACAGAAAGTTACGTAAAAGGGATCTCCAGTTAGATTATCAAATGATTTCTCAACAGAAACACATCAGGGTAGAAAGAAATCGAAAGAAATTTACAAAGTGATGCAAAGCAAGGGACTGAATCCAAGAATACTCTATCCAGCAAGGCTATCAATCAAGATTGAAAGGGAAATCAGGAGCTTCACAGACAAAAAAAGGCTAAGGGAGTTTATCACTACCAAGCCAGCAATGCAAGAAATGCTAAAGGGACTGGTGTACAAAGAAGAAATAAAAAAGGAAGAAGAAACACAGGCACAAAAAATAAAAATGGCTACAAACAAGTACCTATCAATAATAACTTTAAACGTAAATGGACTAAATGCTCCAATCAAAAGACATCGAGTGGCTGAATGGATAAAAAAACGTGACCCATATATATGCTGTCTACAAGAGACCCACCTCAGTGCAAGGGACTCACACATACTGAAAGTGAAGGGATGGAAAAATATCTTTTAGACAAATAGAAATGAAAAAAAAGCTGGGGTAGCAATACTTATATCTAACAAAACAGAGCTCAAAGTGAAGGCCAGAACAAGAAATAAGGAAGGCCACTTCATAATACTAAAGGGATCGATACAACAAGACGATATAACCCTGGTAAACATATATGCACCCAATGCAGGAGCACCCAAATACATTTAAAAAACTCCTGGAAGATATCAAGGGAGAGATTGACAACAATACAATCATAGTAGGGGACTTTAATACCCCACTGACATCACTGGATAAATCCTTTAGACCAGTGGTTCTCAACCTTCCTAATGCCGCAACCCTTTAATACAGTTCCTCATGTTGGGGTGACCCCAATTTCATTGTTACAAATTGAACATAATTAAAGCATAGTGATTAATTACAAAAACAATATGTAATTATATATGTGTTTTCCAATGGTCTTAGGCGACCCCTGTGAAAGGGTCATTCGACCCCCAAAGGGGTCGCGACCCACAGGTTGAGAACCGCTGCTCTAGACAAAAGTCAGCAAAGAAACAGCAATCCTAAATGATTCACTAAATCAGATGGACTTAAATGACATCTTTAGAACATTTCACCCCAAAGCCACGGAATATACGTTTTTCTCAAGTGCACATGGGACATTTTCAAAGGTAGACCTCCTATTGGGTCACAGGCAAAGTCTCTCTAAATTCAGGAAGACTGAAATCATATCAAGCATCTTCTCAGACCACAATGGCATAATATTAGAAATAAACTACAATTAAAACAATAAAAAAATTCAAACACTTGGAAGCTGAATAACATGTTATTAAACAATGACTGGATTACCAAAGAGATCAAAGAAGAAATTAAAAACATCCTGGAAACAAATGACAATGAAAACACAACAATCCAAAAATCTATGGGACACAGCGAAAACAGTCCAAAGAGGGAAGTTTATAGCTCTCCAGGCCTACCTCAAAAAAAAAAAAAAAAAAAAAATAGTAATAAATTATCTAACTCTACAACTTAAAGAATTAGAAGGAGAGCAATAAGAAAAGCACAGAGTAAGCAGAAAGAAGGAGACAATAAAGATCAGAGCACAAATACTAAATGACATAGAGACAAAAAAAACAACACAAAAGATCAATAAAATCTAGAGCTGGTTCTTTGAAAGGATAAACAAGATTAATGAACCTCTGGCCAGGCTCACCAAGAAGCATAGAGAGAGGACCCAAATAAACAAAATCAGAAATGAAAGCGGCGAAATAACAACAGACCCCATAGAAATACAAAGGATTATAAAAAAAATACTATGAACAACTCTATTCCAACAAACTAGACAACCTAAAATAAATGGACATATTCCTAGAAAAATACTAGGTTCCAAAACTCAATCAGGAAGAATAAAAAAAATCTGAATAGGCCGATAGCTACCAATGAAATTGAAGCAGTAATCAAAAATCTTCCAGCAAACAAAAGCCCGGGGCAAGATAGCTTCACAGGGGAGTTTTACCAAACATTCAAAGAACTAAAACCTATCCACCTCAGACTATTGCAAAAAATTCAAGAGGAAGGAACACTTCCAAGCTCATTCTATGAAGCCAGCATTACCCTAATCCCAAAACCAGATAAAGACAGCACAAAGAAAGAGAATTACAGGCCAATATCCCTCATGAACATAGATGCCAAAATCCTCAACAAAATTCTAGCAAATCAGATCCAGCATTACATAAGAAAGATCATACACCATGACCAAGTGGGATTTATCCCAGGGATGCAAGGATGGTACAATATCTGCAAATCAATAAATGTGATACCTCACATGAACAAATTAAAAGATAAAAATGACACAGTCGTATCAATTGATGCAGAAAAAGCATTTGACAAATTCCAACACCCTTTCTTGATAAAAACCCTCAGCAAAGTGGGAATAGAGGGATCATACCTCAACATAATAAAAGCCTTATATGACAAACCTACAGCCAACATCATACTCAATGGGCAAAAACTAAAACCATTTTACCTAAGAACAGGAACAAGACAGGGATGCCCACTTTCACCACTCCTGTTCGACATAGTACTGGAAGGTCTAGCCATACTGATTAGACAAGAAGAAGAAATAAAAGGTATCCAAATTGAAAAAGAAGAAGTAAAACTGTCATTATTCGCAGATGATATAATACTGTACATGAAAACCCTAAAGACTCCATCAAAAAACTATTAGACTTAATAAACGAATTCAGCAATGTAGCAGGACACAAAATTAACGCCAAGAAATCTATGGCATTTTTATACACCAATAGAGAAGTTACAGAAAGAAAGATTTTTAAAAATCCCATTTACCATTGTACCAAAAAAAAATTAAGATACCTAGGAATAAACTTAACTAAGGACGTAAAAGACCTGTACTCGGAAAACTACAGGACACTGATAAAAGAGATAGAAGAAGATATAAACTGATGGAAGAACATACCGTGTTCATGGATTGGTAGAAGCAACATCATTAAAATGTCCATACTACCCAAGGCAATCTATAGATTGCTTTCCACTACCCGTTAAAATACCAACAGCGTATTTCACAGACCTAGAACGAACTCTCCAAAAATTCATCTCGAATAAAAAAAAGACCCCGAATAGCCCCAGCAATCCTGAGAAAGAAGACAAAAGTAGAAGGGATCTCAATACTAGACATCAAGCTATATTACAAAGCCACTGTTCTCAAAACTGCCTATATCTTTGCACAAGAACAAACATATAGACCAATGGAATAGGATGGAGAACCCAGAAATCGACTCAAACCACTATGCTCAATTAATATTTGACAAAGGAGGCAAGAGCATACAATGGAGTCACGACAGTTTCTTCAATAAACGGTGTTGGGAAAATTGGACAGATACATGCAAAAAAATAAAACTATACCACCAACTTATACCATTCACAAAAATAAACTCAAAATGGATAAAGAACTTAAATGCAAGATGGGAAACCATAAAAATCTTAAGAGGAATCCACAGGCAGCAAAATCTCAGACATATGCCAAAGCAATATCTTCACCGATACAGCTCCTAGGGCAATGGAAACTAAGGAGAAAATAAACAAATGGGACTACATCAAAATAAAAAGTTTCTACACAGCAAAAGAAACCATCAACAAAACACTAAAAAAGCCCACTGCATGGGAGAACATATTTGCCAATGTTATCACTGATAAGGGTTTAATCTCCAACATTTATAGGGAACTCATACAACTTAACAAAAGGAAGATAAATAATCCAATCCAAAAAAATGGGCAACAGACCTAAATAGATACTTGTCAAAAGAGGACATACAGAAAGCCAAGAGATATATGAAAACATGCTCACAGTCACTAATCATCCAAGAGATGCAAATCAAAACGACAATAAGGTACCATCTCACACCTGTCAGAATGGCTATCATCAACAAATCAACAAATGACAAGTGCTGGTGAGGAAGTGGAGAAAAAGGAACCCTCGTGGGAATGCAGACTGGTGCAGCCACTATGGAGAACAGTATGGAGTTTTCTCAAAAAACTAAAAATGGAACTCCCATTTGACCCAGTGATCACACTTTTAGTAATATATCCCAAGAAACTAGAAACATCAATCAGAAAGGATATATGCACCCCTTATGTTCATAGCAGCACATTTTACCATAGCTAAGATTTGGAAACAGCCTAAGTGCCCATCAGCAGATGTGCGGATTAGAAAACTGTGGTACATTTACACAATGGAATACTATGCTGCTGTAAAAAAGAAGGAATTCTTACCATTTGCAACAGCATGGATGGACATGGAGAGCATTATGCTGCATGAAATAAGTCAGGGAAAGATAACTATCCCATGATCTCACTCACTTGTGGAATATAATGAATAACATAAACTGATGAACAGAAACAGGTCCAAAGACAGAAAAGCATCGATCAGACCGTCAAACCTCAGAGAGAAGGAGGGGAGGGTGAGGCGGGGGAGAGGGGGAGAGATCAACCAAAGTAGTTGTGTGCATGCATAGAAGCATAACCAATGGACACAGACACTAGGGGGGTGAGGGCACGAGTGGGGGAGGGCACGCAATGGGGAGATAAGGACAGATATGTAATACCTTAATTAAGAAAAGAAAAATGGGTGGAAAATGAATTTATAATTCAGTAATAAACTTACTTTGAAGCTACATTTTCCAGAATATATTAAGTATCTTTTAAGTTATAGAGCACATATCTTCCATAAAAATTCTCTGTAGTTACGCAGAGTGTAAGGTTTGGATGGGTTTCCCAGCAAATAGATACTTCCACAAGAACACTTAACCGAATTAAATTTTGTGGCTTGTAATGGGTCTATCAATAAATTAAACATTTTGCCATGATCTCACATAAAATAACTAAAATCCTAATCTTAAAGGTATTTTCAAAATAAAAACAGAAAAAACTGGGTCTTTTCCAACACCATGTGGAGTTTTTTGTAATGTGATAAACAATGAAAATCAGAAATAAAATTTAATAATTATTAAGTTAAAAATCTAGTCTAAAGCTTTTAAAAGGAACTTTAGATATATTGGTATTTCTTCTGTTACCTTGATAATATCTTGACAAAAAATATTTCAATATTTCTAAAACATTAGTTTCAAAGTTGTGATTGGCCTTTCATTTATTTCATCTACTAGAAAACGTAATTTTGCTTCTTCATCCAAATGTCCCTGTAAATATTGATCCTTATGAGTTCTGTTTGTTTAGCTAAGAATAAAATATCAGAATGATAACATTACTAAACAGATCAATCGGGAAGAAAAAATAACCATGTAACTTTAATCATACTCACATTTCTTCAGCTAACCTTACACACTAAAATTTATACTTTAAAATTTTTTAAGATTATTTCTAATGGTTTATTTAATTGACATACCGGAAGCTGTGAATGCCCTGAAGTTCCTGCTGTAAAACCTCTTGTGTTGTTGCTATTAAGTCCAATGCTCCAACAAATTCAGAAGCAGATAACAACACCTGTACTGTAGGTTGAGTCTGGTGTACAGTGGCCATTAACTTCAGTTTATTGTACACTTTAACACAATTATTTCTGCTAAGTGCCAGTCTTAAAATGTGTAGTGATCCTTCACACATTACTTTATCAATCTGTGCAATTTTATCTCGAAGCATTTTTACAGCCTGGGAAGTTTTCTTGAGGTAGTCCTGCAATTCGTGTTGAGAGGTCATTGCATGAAAAAATGCTTCTGAACGTAGAGAGATCTGGTGAGCAATGTTTACTTCCACAATATCCAGGTAATGGCTCAGCTTGAGAGGGAAGGAGAAAAAAATCATGGAGTATTATAAGTATACCTCCTTGACTGTCCAAATACTTCCTGAAAATGATACAAGATTTCTACATGTATTTTAATCCCCTTGGTGAACTGTTTGCTTATGGGATCCTTGGTATTAGACATAACAAAATGGAAGAGAGGTAAAGATATAGCCCAAAGATTAATAAAATGTAAGACAACAGTGTAGAAGGTGATTTACTGCCCTCCAAACACTAACCTCTTTCTAAAAAGTAAAAGTACATCACAGTCATCTCAGATTATAATCTAGCTTCAGAAGTTCTAAAATCTGAGAGAGCATGAGCTCCTTAAACCCCAGACATCGTCATCATTAACATACAAATCACTTACCTGACTAAAAGATGATTATAGTTAATATTTATTGACCTTCTCCTTTTATGTACCAGGCACTGGTATATTATACACATCATTTTCTAATTTTAACAATCTTGGAATAAAGGTATTATTATTCTTATTTTACAGATGAAAAAACTGAGGCTCAGAGGCATTACAATACTTGAAGTCACATGGTTAGTGTCAAAACTAAAATTTGAAACCAGGTCTGTCTGACTCAAAAGCTGAAGTTATTTATACAATATACCATGCTGCCTTGAAATGCTAAAGAATTCATAAAAGACCAATTGGTGGTCCAGTCACAAATTGTAAAAAGTACTAAAACTTATTTGGATTTTTTTTTCAAGGCTGCTTATTTCACATCTCAAAAATTATTAGCAACTTGTAATACTCAGTTCATTTCCAATGTATTTTCTTCTTAAAAGGTTGACAAATGCCTTAAATAATTAATTCATATATATTTTTATAACACTACCAAGATGAATTCCTAGATTAGCATAGAAATTGTTACTCTAAAAAATTTAGAAAAATTAAAAATGCTTTCTAATTTCAAATATGGACTTCTAAAACTTGCGTTGTCTTTTCTTCCTAAGTGCATATGCCTTTCCATTTGTCTCCCACTTGCTCACTTGATGGTTCTTAAACCTATAGCAAAAATTTAGGCATTATTTCTGAACATCTCAGGAGAATTCATAGCGTTAACGGGTTAATGAACTTTTAACACTTAGGACTCTTAAGACTGGAAGAGATTATTTGGTCACCTAGCCTGTATCCTTAATACCATGCAGGATCACAATATCTTCAGTAAGGCTTCTTCAATAATTTATTATAATACTAGAGGCCATGAATCTTTTCATGCAATAGGCCTTCCCTTCCCTTGGCTGCTGGCACCGGTTTTCCTCCCGCACCTGGGACCCAGGCTTTCGCTCTGGCTGGGCTCCGGCCGGAACCACCCCAGAGCCGTCAGGCTTCACTGCTCGGCAGGCCCCGGGGCCGTGAGGCCTCTATGCTCCGCCTGGCACCGGGGCCCTGTGGCCTCGCTGCTCCGCCTGGCACCGGGGCTGTGTCACCTCGCTGCTCCACCGATCCAGGGGCCGTGTGGCCTCGCTGCTCCACCGATCCAGGGGCCGTGTGGCCTCGCTGCTCCGACTGGCGCCGGGGCTGTGAGGCCTCGCAGCTCCGACTGGCGCCGGGGCCGTGTGGCCTCCACCGATCCCGGGGCCGTGAGGCCTCACTGCTCTGCGAATCCCGAGGCCATGAGTCTCCCTGTTCCGACTGGTGCTAGGGCCGTGTGGCCTTGCTGCTCCACCGATCCAGGGGCCATGAGGCCTCACCGCTCTGCCTGGCGCCGGGCCGTGTGGCCTCGCTGCTCCGACTGGTGCCAGGCCGTGTGGTCTCGCTGCTCCACCGATCCCGGGGCCGTGAGGCCTCGCTGTTCCGACTGGCACCGGGCCGTGAGGCCTCGCTGCTCCGACTGGCGCCGGGGCCGTGTGGCCTCGCTGCTCCACCGATCCCGGGCCGTGAGGCCTCACTGCTCCACCGATCCAGGGGCCATGAGGCTCGCTGCTCCACCGATCCAGGGGCCATGAGGCTCGCTGCTCTGCCTGGCACTGGGGCCACGTGGCCTCGCTGCTCCACCGATCCAGGGGCCATGAGGCCTCACTGCTCCACCGATCCAGGGGCCATGAGGCCTCGCTGCTCTGCCTGGCGCTGGGGCCACGTGGCCTCGCTGCTCCACCGATCCAGGGGCCATGAGGCCTCACTACTCCACGGATCCAGGGGCCATGAGGCTCGCTGCTCTGCCTGGCGCTGGGGCCACGTGGCCTCGCTGCTCCACCGATCCAGGGGCCATGAGGCCTCACTGCTCCACGGATCCAGGGGCCATGAGGCCTCGCTGCTCTGACTGGCGCTGGGGCCATGTGGCCTTGCTGCTCCACTGATCCAGGGGCCATGAGGCCTCACTGCTCTGCCTGGCGCGGGGCCATGAGGCTCACTGCTCTGACTGGCGCTGGGGCCATGTGGCCTCGCTGCTCCACCGATCCAGGGGCCATGAGGCCTCACTGCTCTGCCTGGCGCCGGCCGTGTGGCCTCGCTGCTCGGTGCCAGGCGGTATGGTCTTGCTGCTCCGCCAACCCCAGGGCCATGAGGCCTCGCTGCTCCGACTGGCACTGGGGCCCTGTGGCCTCCCTGCTCTGCCTGGCACCACGGACCGTGAGGCCTCACTGCTCCACCGATCCCAAGGCTGTGAGGACTCGCTGCTCCACCGATCCCAGGCTGTGAGGCCTCACTGCTCTGCCTGGTGCCAGGGACCGTGAGGACTCGCTGCTCCACCGATCCCAGGCTGTGAGGCCTCACTGCTCTGCCTGGTGCCAGGGACCGTGAGGCCTCGCTGCTCCACCGTTCCCAAGGCCGTGAGGACTCGCTGCTCCACCGATCCCGGGCTGTGAGGCCTCACTGCTCTGCCTGGCGCCAGGGCCGTGAGGCCTCGCTGCTCTGCCAATCCCGGGCCGTGAGGCCTTGCTGCTCTGCCGATCCAGGGGCTGTGAGGCCTCACTGCTCCGCCTGGCACCGGGCCGTGTGGCCTCGCTGCTCTGCTGATCCAGGGGCCCTGAGGCCTTGCTGCTCCGCCAATCCCAGGGCCATGATGCCTTGCCGCTCCACCAATCCAGGGACCGTGAGGCCTCGCTGCTCCGCCTGGCGCCAGGATGTGAGGCCTCACTGCTCACCTTGGGCCATCAGACTTCGCTCCACCGCTTGGAACCTAGTATGCAAATTAACCGCCATCTTTGTCGGCAGTTAATTTGCATATTGTGCTGATTAGCCAATGGGAGGCATAGCGAAGGTACGGTCAATTACCATGTATGTTTGTCTATTATTAGGTAAGACTAGAGGCCCGATGGTACGAAATTCATGCAAGAGTAGGCCTTCCTGTCCTAGCCAGTTTGGCTCAGCGGATAGAGCGTAGGCCTGCGGACTCAAGGGTCCCAGGCTCGATTTCGGTCAAGGGCATGTACCTGGGTTGTGGGCACATCCCCAGTAGGGGGCGTGCAAGAGGCAACTGAATCGATGTTTCTCTCTCATCGATGTTTCTAACTCGCTATCCCTCTCCCTTCCTCTCTGTAAAAAAATCAATAAAATATATTTTTTAAAAAAAGAGTAGGCCTTCCTTCCCCCCGGCTGCCAGCATCGGCTTCCCTCTGGCACCTGGGACCCGGGCTTCCCTCGTAGTCCTGGCTTCATCTAGAAGGGCATCCGGAAAGACGTCTGGTCTAATTAGCATATTACACTTTTATTATTATAGATAAAATAGGTTACAAACAAGAAATTTTCCCACAGTTGAAGTTTCTTGCATTTATACCCTTCTGCTATTGTTCTTTTCATCTTCAATACAGCTGTTCATTTATTTACCTAAAAAGCAATATTGAGGACAAACGTATTAAGGTACATTGCAAGCTAAAATGGATTCAATTTTCAGAACAGTAAATGGAGTATGGGCAACTCCTTTAGGACAGTGCTATTCAGAAGGCAGTTTGTATGCTGCTGCCAGTCTGTGAACTGTTTAGCAAGTCCATGATAAAATAAGGAACTTCACTAGAATGTAAATCAACTACATCACTAAGCCCATTGCATTATTTTTTTTTAAAGAAAACTTGCTGAAAAAACAACCCTGTAGGTTGCTTAGTGTAAAAAAAAAAACAAAAAAACAAAGAAAACTTGCTTAATGAATGAAGCAGTGCAATAATTTACATTCTACTACAAATGCATTATCTCATTGCAGGCCAGCAAATTTCTCTGACCCTGATTGTATCATACCCTCTCTTTAAAGCTAGCAAGATAAAACAGCTGATGTCAATCATAAAGTGAGTTTGAAACTGCTCTTAGAATTCTGTCTTCCATTAATTTTCTAAGAACAGAGCAGAATGAAAAAAAGTCAGAATATAAATGTAACAAATCTGATTTTGCAGCTTAGCAAAAAAAATTCCATTACTTTAGCCACTTTAAGCATTTAGCATGAGAAAATTATTTCATTTGAATTTCAAAGATTTCAACAACTTATCAATATTCCATTGACCTACTCTTTTCAAAGGCATAATATTTTCATATGTTTCTTATTAAAAGTCTTTAAAGAGAACAATTTTTAAAGTATTCCTAAAAATATTTATATAATCAATGAGATTTTTATTAGCTTTTGTTGTTTTTTTCTTTTAATGTTTTATTTTATCAGGATACATACTTGGAATGTGAAAAAGTGGTCTGGAGTGAGCCTATGCCCATAAACCCATCAGATTTATGAATCTGTTCCTACTCAAGGAAAATCTTTGTAAGTGAAAATGTTGCCAAAGCAAAAGTTAAATATTTTTTCATTTTTAAATCATTTTTATTTTTCAATTACAGTTAGCATACATTTTATTAGTTGCAGGTGTATACCCAAGTGATTATTCATTATGTAATTTACTAAGTGATCATCCCAATAAAACTGTAAGAAAAGGAATAGTCATGATTCTTTTCCTACATTTCTTCTCTTATCCTCCCTGAGTTAGTCCTTTCTTCAGTTACTGAGGACTGGACCTAATTTATTGAATCATCTTCCTGGGAGAAGCTTTCATACTGCCAAGAGATGTCACTAGACTATAACAAAATGCTTTCTTTTCAGTTTAAGAACCACAGTCAGTTTTAGGAAAGCTCTAAACTGAGTGGGGAAAAACAACAACAACAAAAACAAACCACAGATATCAAAGGTCTTTACATTCTTGATATGTGAGTTAAGATATTTTTAAAGTTCTACATATAAAATGATGTTCAAGATGTTAACTTCTGAAATATAGAACATTGTAAAAAAATTAAAAACTGACTAATAATATGCAAAAGACTAGGCTTTGTAAAGCTAAAAACATTTAGGAATATTGATATGATGGTTTTGCTTTAAAATAATAATCCTTACTGCCCGGCAGGGTGGCTCAGCGGATGAGTGTAGAACATGAACTAAGAGGTCACCAGTTTGATATCTGGTCTAGGCACATGCCTAGGTTGTGGGCTCCATCCCCAGTAGGGGGTGTAAAGTTGGCAGCCAATTGATGTTTCTCTCTCATCAATGTTTCTATCTCTCTATCTCTCCCTTCCCCTCACTCTAAAATCAATAAAAACATATTTAAAATAATAATAATAACCCTTACTATGTAAATGAGGAAAAACAGTGCCTCATGAAAAGCCGATTTTTTATGTCTTAAATCATAAAGAATATAAAATTGGCAATATATTGTTCGGGATAAATGTAAAGCAATTATAATTACGTATGTTATCTAATATATCCTTTCGACTGAAATTCTATCAACTGCTGTTTCAAATAATAAGCATTCAAACAATAAGCTTTTCTTTTTATATATATATATATATATATGTATATTTTATTGGTTTTTTACAGAGAGGACGGGAGAGGAATAGAGAGTTAGAAACATCAATGAGAGAGAAACACCGATCAGCTGCCTCCTGCACACCCCCCACTGGGGTTGTGCCCGCAACCAACCAAGGTACATGCCCTTAACCGGAATTGAACCTGGGACCCTTCAGTCCGCAGTCCGACGCTCCATCCACTGAGCCAAACCGGTCAGGGCAAGCTTTTCTTTTTTCACCAGCACAACTTATATTCCATTGAATCAAATGCTATTACTTTTTCAGTAAATATTCGAAGGCTTATAATTATCAATAACAACAAAATAAAATTAAAAGAAGTAATGCTTACTAAGTAACTAAATCTGAACCCATGCCAAGTAGTATCACTTAACTAGAATAAAATTTTCTACATGGAAAAAGTAAAAAAGAAAATACCTTTTCTTGTAGCAACTTTGAGGAAGCTGCATCACGATTTCCTTTTCCACCAGCAGTATTAAAATGAGACCATGGTAAAACTGAATTAAAAGTTAAAGAATCGTCCAAGGCAAAATCTGGTTTCATAAAAATCTATCAAAAAAATTCATTTCTCTCGATTAGAAAAACATTTTCTTTACATTCATTATTTCTTCTAAAATCATAGAGCATTAAACAATAATTATTTTGGACCTCAAGCATAAACAGCAAAAGCAAGTGATAACATGTTATTTACATAAAATCTGTAGAAAAATGTACAAATCTCATCTAAGTAAACATACTCATGAAAGATAGAAAAATGTCTTTTTGCCTTAACCAATAGATGTGTGGAAGGCTGCCTGCCCTGTTTATCGGAATTCCAACTTAGGGGAGACTTGGGGGAGTACCGAAGATGGAGCCTCTAATTATTCCTTGACCTTTCCAAACAAGCCTGTGCATATGCAGACCCCCGGGTGTTTATTGGAATCCTTATGCTTAATCCCTAGATGCCCTTACCTAGAATACAATGTAAACATGTTTCCTTCCAAGATTACTCACCCTACTGATTGCATCTAAAGATAAAAATTCCAATAAAGGCCTAACGAGGCAGGCAATAGAGGCTGCCCTGGCCACTAGAGCCAGGGGCCCCTTAGCCCTCTCTTTCACAGTCAAGCTGTGTCTGAGTAATTTGTTCATCCTTCCTTCAGGGGGCTGCTGGTCAGCCCCAGCAAATGGAGATGATCATTCCATTACAACGTGATCAAATGCACTACTGTATTCCCACTGGGCACACACCAAAGAGAGATAGTGTGTGTGTGTGTTTTAAACGCCAGATATCAATTTCTCTATACTTATATTTCTAATGTCTCCTGCTAAAATTTCTTTCAAAATTGTTTTTTAGACATACACTAAATTTTAAAATCATAACAAATTCAATTTTATGAAAAGCCAGCTCCTTTTCTCTTATGTATTACATCCATCTGAGTACTAAGTAGTATTCATTATATTTCCTAAATATTGCTTGAATCCCTTCATTCCTCTATCTCCACAACATTTCATCGATGCAGCCCTTCATTATCTCTGGATTGCAGTAAATGGACACTTAATGATATTCTTCCCTGATCTATCCACTATATTTCTGTTAGATATCCCTTTAAATGCAAGAGTATAACTGAATTAACTTCTCTGTTTGAATCTCTCAAGAGTCCCATGACCCACAGACCAAGCTTTTTAGAATGGCATTGAGAGTCCTTCAACTTTTGGACCCACTTACCTCTTTTTATCTTGCCACTATTTACAAGTTAAATTTGAGCAGTATTCAAATATCTTCCATATCCTCTTATGCTTACGTATCTTTATACATGTATTTTTGGCCTAGAATGCTCTTGCCTATCTTCCTAGAGAATTCAATCCAATCAAAGGGGCAAACATGTCCCTGTGTATGACACAGAGATTAATCACCCCATCTCTGAACACAAATATACTATGTACACTTATTTATCGCCACTTCACAAAAATTATTTACTTAATATGTATATATCCTCCTGGAATATGTTCCTCTAAGATTGGAATTACAATTATTATTCTTTGTATTCCCATAAGGCCTAAAACATGCTTTAATAAGTTAATTACTTCATTAATTTCTATATTTTATTCTATTTACTGATTCCTTTTATCTTTTGCAAAAAATTGTTATGAATGTGATAGGGAAAATCTAGGGACATGAGTATATTTTCTAGTCACTGCTTTAGTACTACTGAAAGCATTGATTCATTCAATAAGTATTTACTGGTTGTCTAACTCTTATGCTAGGCACTAAGAGAAAACAAAAATAAACTATTACAGAGGTACTAATCTCAATGATCTTTAGTCTAAGGGATATGATAAAATATATACATAAGTATCATATAAGAGGAAGAATGACAAATGCCTTGAAAGGGAAGGCTGGGATCTAGATAAAATATCATGGAAATTTAGCAAAGGGGCAAATTATCTTCAGTTGGGAGAAATGTATTCATGTAAAGTTGCCAGTTAAGCAAAAGAATGTAAAGGATTAGATATAGGGAGATTGTGGAAAGTCTCTGTCTGGGTTCAGGAGCAGTTTAAGAATGGAGTCAACGAAAGAGTCTGACTGAAGTAAAAGATGTGTAAAGATTAGGAGGCAAAAGTTAAGAGTGTAGCTCCGAATGGAAATGAATAATTAAGAACCTTAAATTACAGAGTTTGAATTTTATTTTATAGGAATCAAAGAATTTTAAAAATGACTGCCCTCTCCTTTTTGTTTCTACCCTTCATCTGCCTGTCTCTTCTCACCTTAAAGAGCAATTACCACAGACTCTTTTGAGAATCTGATGAATGCAATGGATTCTTTTCCCAGAAAAAAAAAACAAAAACAAAAACTCATCTATTACACATCTCTACAAATGTTTTCTTCTAAAGGAAATGTCTTTTAATAATTTGAAGGGAGAGTAAGATCAACAAAATTCTTCTTTTAGAATGGAGAGACTTAAACATATTTGTAGGTTTTGATGATGAAGAGATTGATGATGAAAAAGAGAAGAAAGAGATATAACAAAGTTACAGAAGAGGCAAAGTGTCAGAAAACAGCTAAATGAAAGCTTCTTAAAGACAAAATTAAAGATCAAATATTAAAAAGTAGTATTCTCATTTTTTAAGCTTTACCTTAGGTACTTGCTCCAGATCTGTCCTGGATTTATCTATTAAAAAAAGGGGGAGGGAGAAGGGAGAACATGATTTTTTAAACCTGTTTTCATTTTACTTCCGTAAAATATACTTTGACAAGATTCAATACTATACTAGGTCACAGCCAAATAACCACATAAGTTTCTTTGTTCAACAAGTATCTATTAAGCACCTCCTGTATCCCTAGTAGTATACGAAGCACTGAATATGGCATATATGCAAATAATTTTAATCAATTGTATACTAGCAATAAAACAACTTAATAAATTTTAAGAAAGAATCATTAGTCTACAATGAATTAGTCTATAATGATTAGCTACTCTTATCAAGTTTTGGTGAGATTAAGTTTGGCATGCTATGTAGTTTTAAGAATGAATTAAATTCTAAAATAGGAATACTGTTTTTTAATTGTTCAAAATATCCCCCATCCCTTCCAGAATTTCTTCTGATCAAAGATATTTTTAAATATATTAATTTTCTTCTAATACATTTTAGTTTGTATCATCAACAAATTTATCTGTGCCCGCCTGGTGTGGCTCAGTAGTTGAGTGTTGACCCATGAACCAAGAGGTCCCTGGTTGGATTCCCAGTCAGAGCACATTCCCCGGGTTGCGGGTGGCAGGCTTGATCCCCAGTGGGGGGCATGTAGGAGGCAGCCGATTGATGTGTCTTTCTCATCGATGTTTCTATCTATCTCTCTCCTTTCTGCTCTCTTTAAAATTAATAAAATGAAATAAAAATTATCTGTAATTGAATCTACTTTACCTTCATCTCATCAATAAGACCTCAGGCAAGGTACCCTCCTTTCCAAAAGTAACCCATTCCCTCCTGCCTCTTCTGTGAGCTTACTTCAATTACCCTGCCTCTCTCTGTATCTTCAACCTTTTTCTCCTTCTAAGAGCATCTTCCTCTCTGCATATAAACATGTTTCATTAAAAAAAAGAGAGAGAGAGAGGGGAGGAGAAGGGAGAGGAAAGAAGGGAGAAGAGAGAAAGAAAAAGATAAAACATAGGGCCCAGACTAGATTGAGGCAAGGGAATCTTGGGTGAAAAATTTTAAAAAGCACTCACTTTCAGGGTTATGCAAATACCTCTCTTGCCTCATCTAGTCCTGGCCATGCAAAAACATTCTTCCACTCTATTCCCTCTGTAGTCAATATCCTATATCTCAAATCTTCAAGTTACATCCACACTGGTAGTCTCCATTGCTTTCTCTTGTACTCACACTTTAATATATATAGTGAGGTTTCTGTAACCACAGTTCCAGTTTAAATGCTCTCCCTAAGATCTCCTAAATTGCTTAATCCATGAAGACTTCTCAGTATGTAAACTGAAGTACTGTGACACTGTAGACTAATTATTCTCACTTCTTTGAAATTATCAAAGGTGGAACTCTCTCTTGGTTGACTCTGTTATCTCTCTACTTCTTTATAGTCTCCTTCACAAGTGCCTAATTTTCTATCTGCCCCTTAAATGTGACAGCTTCCTAGTGTTCTATTATAAGTTATTTTCTCCCCGCTATTCACATCCTTCCAGGGTGATCCCATCCATGCCCTTGGATTCAACTACCATGATACTGTCTAGCATATTGTCTATGATAATGTCTACTAAACCTACATCTCCAGCCCAGATCTCTTTCCTGACCTCCCAGCTACATACCAAACATGTTTGCAAAACTGCAATTAAACCAGCCTCTATCTCCTCCAGAATTTCTCCTCTTATATTGGCTATCTCACTGAATTGCACCTCACCTAGCCAGCTGCCCAAGCAAGAAACTAGGGAGTCATCCTTGAATAAACTTGTTCCATTACCAACAACTAACTGACCACCAAAACCTATGTCTCAATCACTCAGAGGCCTAATATCCTCTCCATCTTCATTATAACTGTGAATTGGGGCCACATTTTTTCTCACTTGTATTATTGCAATAGCTTCCAACTGTCTCCTTGACTCCAGTTATATCATCCAAAAATTTATTACCCACAACTGTTTACACAGTGAAATGTCTAACCATAAATCTGACTTGTCTGGTTAAAAGGTTTTGTAGCTCTATACTGCTTTAAGAAATATTCCTTAGCATGGCATACAAGGCTCTTAATCTGACTCCAATCTATTTCTTCCGCTTCTTTTCTTGCTCCCAGTAGAGCCAACGTACTGAACTCTTGCAGTCCCTTGGACATGCTAATTTATCTCTTGACTCTATGGCGTTATACAAACTATTCCTTCTTCCTGGAATGCCTTTCACACATAAATATTTCTCAATAGCTAGTTTAAAACACAGACAATCATCATCAACTCTAGGAAATCTTCTAAGCCAAGTTCAGAGCTGTATACAATCTTGCCATGCTGAACTTATTACTTGATATACAGTGCTGCAATTTTTTGGTTTATTTATTTAACCTTACTCAGGAGACCATCAGCTTCTTGAGGACAGGGACCATTTCTAATTCATCTATTTTTTAAGCAACAAGCAAAGTGCCAAGAACACAGATATTACTTAAGTATTTGTTGAATTGAAGACAACACTATCATCAGACCCAAGATTTTTCTCTTAAAGCTTTTAGTAAAGATTATAACAGTAAGCTATAAAAATTTTACTAGAAAGAAAAATTGTAAGTATGACAGCCTACAAGGTCCCCAAGTTAAGATTTTGTTCATTAATACTATTCTCTTCTACAAATTTCACATATTCATCTACATATTATCTACAAGTAGATATTCATACCATGAGTATGTAAGAGAGTCCTGTCAAAGGTATCTTTAGGAGGACAAATATTCTTGCATCTTGCATGAATCTTCTCTCTCTAATAAAAGGACAATTAAATAAATAATGTAATCGATGCTGTGTGGCAATACAAATATTCAAAGTATCAAAATGTTTCACAACAGAATATATAAAATTAGTTCTATGATTTTTAAATCACTAGCATCTGAACTTAAATACAAATAATAAGTATGCTTAATAAACTAAATATCACTGAGACGTATGAATACCTATTTACTTATACTGATCCCATTTCACATAATTAGTAAAATCTCCATAAATTTGGAATGAAGTGGGAAAGCAAATGAAAAATCCTTACTTATATGACAGAAATCAATTAAGAAAATAATTTTTAAAAGCAAGGAAGAAAATTTGAAAACTGATACACCTAAGATAGATAATTATTAATTGACACTTTCTCTCTGAGTAAAGAAAAATAATTCCATTCTAATTTCAGATTAGATAACCACTAACAACACTGTTATCTTTTCAGAGATACCATAAATAGAACATATGGGAAGGGGAGTGTGGTAAGAAAAAACACTGGGCTAATAGTGTCCAGAATTCTGATCGTAGTTCTGACAGTATGGAACTGTCTTCCAAAGAGGCTGTGCATTTTGCATCCCTACCCACAATGAATGAGAATCCCGATTAGTCCATTTCTTAAACTTCACAAATTGTCTGAGCTTTACAGGTCTAATAAAACCATTTTTTCCTTGGTAGGTAGGGCAGGTTTTCAGGTTGAATCTTAGCATTAATAGGATTATGTCATCCTGAAAAATCATTAGAGTAAGAAAAATATATTTACATAAATCTAAGTAAAGAACTAAATACAACCCAGTACAGACTGTATATGAACAAAAAAAAATAACATGGATTCCTCAAAGACTACTGGTAAAAATCCATTATAAATTACTTTTGACCTGACTATAACTAACTTCAAGATTAGATGTTACCTGGGAGATTTCCTGTTGATATACTGTAAAATGTTCCTTGCTGATCTGTGGGAGGTAGAATGAAGGTATGACTTCAGTGTCCACAAAGTCCAATCCCCATGTTTTTGTGAAGAAGTCAGATTCTCTTTTTGCTAATCTAGGATCATTTAATGCTGCTGGGAGATTTACTTTGGAATGATATATAGTCCATTTGTGTTGATCTGTAACTAGAGATGGGGCAACACATAAACTGTGTGAATCACCTGCAAAAAGTAAACAAGAGAACTCTGTAAAATAAGTTCTATGTTTGAAAGTATACCCTAGAAAAACAAAAATGCTTAGATTATACATTATACAAAGCAACTACTCTCTTCTATGGCAAATGTTTTAATAAAAATCAATCTGATGAAATAAACATGAGCTATCAGCATCAATTGCTGAAGGAAGAAAAAAACCTGTATAAGCTCAAATATGCAAAATTTGAGAGCTGTAGTCACAGGGTGGGGTAAATGGTAAAGAAAGTCTTTCATTAATTCCTTTCCTTGCTGTACAATTTATCTTTTTTCAACACAAAAACTCTTCTACCTTCAACTGAATATCTTCTATTCTTTAATATTCCAGTTTTTCCCCATAGGTAGAGCTTTTTTTCTATTGTACTATGGCAGATAGTACTAGTTCCTTTTTTTTTTTTTTGCTTGTAATTAGATAACATAAATACTGCTGTGGCATTAACCATAGAGGAAAGAAAAATATACAGTTGATTTTTATTATTCACAGTAGTTCTGTTCTAGAAAGCCACTGGACACTTGATTAGCAAATACTGAAATACTGACCCTAGTGGAAATACACATTAGATTCCTGCAAGTCTCTGTGTTCACAACATTTTCATCAACTGATTAATACAGAATCATATGCATGTGTCTATTTAAAAACACATTATTTACTATATATTTAATATATAGTTTTATATACTTACTATATACTTAATATATAACATATATTGTTCATTCATTAACATTGAACTACAACTCATACCTGAATGAAGTTTATATGACATGCACATTACAGCTTTCTTATACTTAGGAATACTAGAAAACACTTCAGCACTACGTTTGAGAATATTTCAAAAAGCAAAATCACCAATAAGATACACAAAAATGCAATAAAAAGTAGCTCTAAATAGACCACAAAAAGACTTGTTTACACCATGATAGCTGAAACAAAAAGGCAGAGTGTTGCCTTGTTCAACCTCAGGTGGGAACGTATACATTGGGTAATTTAAATTTTTCACTCTTCTGTGCATGTTTGCAAATGACCACAAAAGTGCCACGAATATTGATTTGGGGGTTACAAATAAGTTTTAAGGTGTAGGCAAATTTGCAAATATGGAAACCACAAATAATGAGGATTGACTATATTATGTTTAAAGAGCTTTTCGAACTATACATTTCAAAATATTTTTAATAGTTTATGTAAGTACTTCTTTTATGGAAATGCATGAAAAGAACTATATTCTAATCTCCTAATCTACTTATTTCCAAATTATTTATCTCTCTTTAGTTTTAACATCATAAAATTTACTCTTTTAAGATAAGCATACGAAATCTGTCTACTCCTTTACAGTTAATATAAATCCTCAAAGGAAAAAAAAAGGCATTACCTGTGGGTTCCTTGGGACACACATCTGGCAGTGACTGCACAGGTCGAATGTGTTTTGTTGGATCTACCTCTTTTTTAACGAAAACATCACTGCTGCTTCCTTGAGGCACTGGTGAACTGTGGCTTGAAGCCATTGCATAAAATCACCACTCAACTGAAAAAGAATAAGAAACAAATAATAATCAAGACACTTAACACAAATCAAAATTCATCTACAGGGTGGGGCAAAAGTAGGTTTATAGTTCCGAGTACACAAAATACAGTTAATAAAGTGACTGTAATAATCATAACCTGCATGTCTTTTTCCATACAAAAAACTGTAAATCTACTTTTGCTTCACCCTGTATAAGTATTATGCATGTCAAAAACTTTCTTTCAAAAACAGATACAATATTCAAAATCCCCAAGTACACAATTTGAATATTCTCTATTGTGAGTCACTCGATATATACTTAGTTTGCAAAGCAAGTTATCTGTCCTTGTTTAAAAAGTATTCTTCCCCAAAATTACCTATCCTTAGACTTTAATCCAAAGTGCAAATAGACATCAAAGCTGCAACCAGTATAAAAGAAAAACATTCCCTTTATTCAACAAGTATATAATAATTATGCATTATAGCAAAATATATAAGTGCATGGGTTGCTGAAATGGTGACTGCTTCATGTACCAGTAGTATAACCTTGAGAAAATTTACTTAACCTTTGAAAGCTTTACCTTATCTGTAAAAATGGGGATGAAAAGAGGTCCCATCTCATAAACACTTTGTAACAAAGAAATGGATACATGTAAAATAAACCATTTATAATCATGTCTGCCTCAAAGTTTGTGTTCATAAATGTTATTATCATTATATTTATTATTACTATGTGACTGTCACTATATTAAATGACTATAAAAGTATCATTCTTCAAAGTGATTACAATTAAGTAAGCAAAACACTAAGCAAAACACCAGTTAACCTATGTCCACATTTTTTAGTTAAATGCTGAATTTGTGGGCAACATAATATAGGCTACAGTGTCAGGTAAGACATTACAAATGAAGTAGTACATAACCTGGATAAACATGTGATATTCTATTATTAGAGAACTAGAGGCCCGGTGCACAAAAATTTGTGCACTCGGGGGGGGGGGGGGATTCCTCAGCCTGGCCTGTGCCCTGTCGCAGTCTGGGGCCCCTCGGGGGATGACCACCTGCTGGCTTAGGCCTGCTTCTGGGGTATCGGGCCTAAGCTGGCAGTCAGACATCCCTCTGGCAGCCTGGGAGCCCTCAGGGGATGTCCACTTGCCAGCGGGGAGCAGGCCTAAGCTGCAGTCGGACATCCTTAGCACTGCTGAGGAAGCCGGATGCTGGAGACCAAGATCAACAGTAATTGATATAAATGTGAGGAGTCTGGCAGAAGGGTGACCAGGACTCCTTTTGATATTAACAGGGTGAATATCTACATTTTATTACCTGCTGCTGACTCAATGGCCTAAAGCAAACTCCCCCAAAACCTGACAATCTTACTGTTTACTAAACATTACCATTGATATGTCTGTTTGCATTCCTAAAGGCAATGTGTATTCTAGCAAATAAAAGCAGCTGGAAACGGAGCAACAGAGAGAACTTGACTGCTATGGTTGAGTTTTCCTCTGGTTCCCCCAGTATTAAAAATAATATTTCTGCCCTAACCGGTTTGGCTCAGTGGATAGAGCGTCGGCCTGCGGTCTCAAGGGTCCAAGGTTCGGTTCCAGTCAAGGGCATGTACCTTGGTTGCAGGCACATCCTCAGTAGGGAGTGTGCAGGAGGCAGCTGATTGATGTTTCTCTCTCATTGATGTTTCTAACTCTCTATCCCTCTCCCTTCCTCTCTGTAAAAAATCAATAAAATATATTTAAAAAATAAATAAAATAAAAAAATAATATTTCTTCTTATATATCACTTGTGTGTCAGCTCTTCCTCCAAGCCTTTGAACCCACGAAAGCCACACTGGTCATGGACTCTGACAGCGGGAGAGGCTCCCACCACCACCGCTGTACTGGCAGCTGTCAGCCTGGCACGTGGCTGAGCAGAGCTCCCCCTGTGGGAACACACTGACCACCAGGGGGCAGCTCCTGCATTGAGCATCTGCCCCTGGTGGTCAGTGTGTGTCATAGTGACCAGTCATTCCCAGTCGTTCTGCTGTTAGGGTCAATTTGCATATTACCCTTTTATTATATAGGAGTGCCTGGCCAGCCTGGGTGAGGGGCTGATGGCTGTTTGCAGGCTGGCCACAGCCCCTTCAGGGTGGGAGGTCCTGCTGGGTGCCTGGCCAGTCTGGGTGAGTGGCTAATGGCAGTTTGCAGGCTGGCCAAGCCCCCCAGCAGGGACCCTCACCCCTGAGGGTGTGGCCAGCCTAGGTGAGGGGCTGATGGCTGTTTGCAGGCTGGCCACAGCCCCTTAAGGGTGGGGGTCCCCGCTGGGGTGCTTGGCCAGCCTTGGTGAGGGGCTGAGAGCCATTTGCAGGCTGGCCACAGCCCCTTCAGGGTGGGGGTCCCTTCTGGGGTGCCTGGCCAGCTGGGTGAGGGGCTGATGTCTGTTTGCAGGCTGGCCACGGCCCCCAGCCACCCAAGCTCCCAGTGGAGGCTGGCTGGAAGCAGGTATCTGGGATTTGTTTATCTTCTATAATTGAAACTTCGTTGCCTTTAGCAGAGGCCACAGCTGGCTCAGGCCTGGCGGGAAGCTTGGCTTCCTCCATCACCGGGGCAACCAAGCCTCCTGCTTGCTCCAGCTCCATGGCTGCCAGCCATCATCTTGGTTGGGTTAATTTCATATAGTCGCTCTGATTGGCTGATGGGCGTGGCTTAGGGTGTAGTGAAGGTACGGTCAATTAGCATGTTTGTCTTTTATTAGTGTAGATGGATAATTTTATATTGTTGAACATACCTATCAAATAGCAGATATTCAATAAATATTTTAATGAAGGAATAAATAAGTGGATATAAGCAGAAGCTTATAGTTGAAAGGAAACTTAAAGATCACCTAGTCTAAATTCCCTTACATTGGAGATAAGTAAACTAAGTGTTTACAAAGATATGCGTGGTTTAACAAGTTTTTAAAAAAATCCAATTTAGGAAATCTGGTAAGTAGAAAAATAATAGTAAGAAAAAAAGAGCAGAGACATAGGCTAGGATCAGTGACAAAAAGTTCATCCATTCTAATTCCCCTCGTTTTGTGGAACTCTAACAATTACATTTCCCAGACTTCCTTGCATATCTATCTCAGTCCTCCTAATGCAAAGGAGACATTTCCAATTACACCATTCACTGAGACCATCAGAAACAAGCTACTAAGAAAATACAGAAAGATAAATAACTTCCTCATGGTCCCTGAACAGAAAGCAAATAACAGCATGAATAAAGGTTAAGGGACATGGTATAATCATAAGATTGTGTGGAAACTGACGTGGCTAGAGTGAAATGTTTACATTGGGAAGTAACGGCAAATAAAGCATATTTACACACACACCCCCACCCACAGCCTATATAGTTGGTTCTCTAAGCAATAAGGAGCCACAAGCTTTTTTGTGGACTTCTTTGGCAGTCTGGTGAGTTCCATGGGACAAAAGAATACTATCATGAAAGTATCTGGGAAAATTAATTAGGGCCTTGGTTTCAAAGGCATCATTGGCTTGCTGCAGTTATATCCATACATATTAAGTGTATGGTTATTTCTGTATAAAAGCACTTGCATATTAAGGAGAGAAGAAATATCTAAAAAATAGGAAACATTGTATGAAATAAAATACTGTACATTAAGCATTTGGTAAAGACAACTTTTTATTAATTTCATCAAATAAAATGGCTAAAATAAACACATTTTTACACTTTAAGTGGTAAGTTGCAAATACACAGAAAATGTGTTTATACTGAACACCCATTGCTTGATGCCAGATAAATTAAATATTGATTCCAACAATAGTACATGACAATTTCAATTTATTTTCCTTACCTTCATGTCCATAAGTGCCATATTAGGAAGCCAGAAATACTTGGGGAGATAGGAATTTGTAGAAAAACATTTAAGTTATTTCTGTATCTGGGAGGGGGAGGGGAATCACTTTATTTACTCATTCAAGATTCTGAGTTAGGAAACATTTGCAGATTTTCCATTTTTTTCTTACACCTCTCCTAATTCTTATGAAAAGAGGGACAATCTCTAGCTTTAAAGGGATTATGTAAAATTAGGGGGCTGCCTACATAAGTGAGTCTTATAAAGAAAGGAAGTTAGGGCCAATTGAATATAACATATTGAATAAATAAAGATTAATGAATGCAGAGTGATACCTGAGTGGAGGGAAGAGATAAGGGGGTAGAAGGGGATGGGTTGGGGTGGGAAAAGAAAAACTCTTTTTCACAGAATGCCAGTAATAAATGCCAGTAATGTAAAAGAATGACTGAATTAGAAAGTCATTGTTTTGTAACACCCCAAAATCATCAATGTACGCTAAAGCCATTAGGTGAAAGGTTTTTCAGAAATAAAATTCTACTGATGTCAAAGTATCACCCTACAGATTACTTAGCAATGCAAAGGGGAAAATGTGTCTTTAAAATGGAAAGATCTCCACCTTAACTAGGTCATCAAATAGCAGGTATTCAATAAACTTGGTATTACTAAAAATAGAAAGATAATTCGATATTATATGACTTATGAAAAGACAATATAAAGTAAACATCATCTATGAGACATTTGCACCAAAATCTTTAACCTAATCTAATTAAGTCTCTAGACCAGTGTTGAGGGCTACTAGCAAACACTGGGGCACCTTTAAATATGTCACTGAAACTCAGGGCGCAGGCAGAGCCCCGCCCTGGGGGCGGTCCTAGGCAAAAGACAAGGATGCCACTCAGTTTGACCTTCCCACCCAGTGTTAAGGGGGTGGATCTCATGATGTCACCAGGAACTCAAGGCCCACCCAAATGTGATGCAACTTCCTGTTATTCGAGTATTTATTAAGCTACTTCCGGTGCTGGCTCTGTGTCTGTCCCTCCATCAGAGGGCAGACGCCACACCTGGTCCCAGTCTCTTCTATTTTTGTGTCCTGTCTATCTTTATTTCATTACTTAATCCCCAGCGCCTCTACTTGCCGGGAGCCGGTCCATCCTTGCTGTTTCAAAGGACCTGGCATATATG